GCAAAGACCACCAGCCGCTTGAGCCCAACCACTTTCGTTCGCCTGCCACCTTGAGCCGTCACGTACGTGTCTTTGTCATCGACCCCTCCCGTTCCTGACGGTGATTATATCGTTACGCCAATTACTCACGTTCGGCTGACGCGCAGTGTTACTGTGCCTTACCATCGCGACCATAGCAAATAACTGTGTGTTACTTCCGCTCCTTAACTTTGGTTTCACCCCTCAAGTGTTGCCCTGCCAGATGTCTCTAGCCCAGCTAACTGCCATAACAGAGGACAATGTCAGTGTTGTCACTGTATCTGCTCTTGATCGAAGTGCAGTCTCACGGTCATCCAGCTCAGACGATGGTATTTTTCGAAACATGATTAGATCGGAGCTGTCGCCTCACCAGGCCGACGCTCTCTGCCAAGTTTTGGCCTCATACAGTGACATTTTCGACACCGACGATCGTCCCTTGGGCCAGACTAAAATTGTTACTCACCGAATCAACACTGGTGACTCTGCGCCCATTCACCGTCGGCCGTACCGCGTGTCAGCGTCCGAGCGAGAAGTGATTCAGAAAGAAGTGGCCAAAATGCTTACGAAAAACGTAATCGAACCATCTTGGGCATCTCTTGTGGTATTAGTAAAAAAGAAAGATGGCTCATGGCATTTCTGCGTTGATTATCGCCACCTCAACAAAATTACCAAAAAAGATTTGTACCCTCTACCACGCATTGACGATGCCCTTGATTGCCTCCATGGCGCCACCTTCTTTTCATCTCTCGACCTCCGATCTGGCTACTGGCAAATTGCTGTAGATGACATAGGACCGAGAAAAGACCGCCTTCGTTACCCCTGACGGTCTTTACCAATTCAAGGTCATGCCATTCGGGCTCTGCAACGCTCCAGCGACCTTCGAGAGAATGATGGACACGCTCCTACAAGGATTTAAATGGTCGACATGTTTGTGTTACCTGGACGACGTGATCGTTTTCTCACCTACCTTTGCAACCCACCTTGACCGCCTTTCAACCATTCTATCCATATTTCGACGGGCCAGCCTGCAGCTCAATTCCTCCAAGTGCCACTTCTGTCTTCGTCAGATTACCGTATTGGGTCACCTTGTTGACGCTGCCGGCGTACGGCCAGACCCGGCGAAAGTATGTGCTGTAACAAACTTCCCAGTCCCACGCTCTGTCCATGATGTTCGCAGTTTTGTGGGCCTCTGCTCCTACTTTCGCCGGTTCGTGAAAAACTTTGCGGCACTCGCACGGCCACTCACCGACCTTCTCAAACAAGACGTCCCATTTTCTTGAGGCCCTCCTCAAGCTGACGCCTTCTCTCAGCTAATCACCGCTCTAACGACACCTCCTATTCTTGCACATTTCGACCCCGATGCTCCTACAGAAGTGCGAACAGACGCGAGTGGTCACAAAATTGGTGCAGTTTTGGCGCAAATTCAGCGGGGCAACGACCGTGTAATCGCGTACGCAAGCCGTCTGCTTTCTAAGTCTGAACGCAATTATTCTATAACAGAACGGGAATGTCTCGCTCTTGTTTGGGCGGTTTCGAAATTCCGTCCTTACTTGTATGGCCGCCCTTTCCGTGTCATCACAGATCATCACGCGCTGTGTTGGCTTTCTTCTCTGAAGGACCCCACTGGACGACTTGGTCGTTGGGCATTACGCCTACAGGAGTATTCCTACTCGGTTGCTTATAAGTCTGGACGTCTCCATCTGGACGCCGATTGCTTATCTTGCTACACTGTTGATCAGCCCGACGAACCAGACATCGAGCCTAGCCTCAGCGTCATGTCAATGTCCCAGTTTCTTCAGATTGGTGATGAACAACGTCGTGATGCTTTTCTGCGACAACTTATTGACCGTCTCGAATCTGCTTCGAACGACACGTCACTTCGCATGTACGTCCTCCTGAATGGCACGCTGTACCGTCGTAGCCTCCAGCGAGATGGCCCTGAGCTCCTTCTTGTCGTGCCGAAAAATTTGCATTCAACCGTGCTGCACGAGCTTCACGATGAACCAACTGCTGGTCATCTGGGTGTATCTCGGACGTACGACCGCATGCGTCGCCGCTTCTTTTGGCGCGGTCTCGCCCGGTCCGTTCGCCGTTACGTGTCCTCCTGCGATAAATGCCAACGTAGGAAGCAACCTACTGCGCCCCCGGCTGGACTTCTTCAACCGATCTCCATCCCAACCGAACCTTTCTTCCGTGTTGGTATAGATCTTCTCGGTCCTTTTCCCGAGTCGAAATCGGGCAACAAGTGGGTCGCCGTTGCTATAGACTACGCGACTAGGTATGCCATCACTCGAGCGCTCCCCACCAGCACCACTACTGACGTTGCGGACTTTTTGCTCCACGACGTCATCCTACACCATGGCGCTCCTCGCCAATTACTCACGGATCGTGGCCGCGCATTTTTGTCCCGTGTGATCGACGATCTTCTGCGCTCTTCCTCGACGCACCACAAGCTGACCACTTCCTACTATCCCCAAACAAATGGCCTTACCGAACGGCTAAATCGGACCCTAACGGACATGCTCGCGATGTATGTGTCCTCCGACCACCATGACTGGGACCTGGCGCTACCTCACGTGACCTTCGCGTACAATTCTTCGCGCCACGACACTACTGGTTATTCACCCTTTTATTTGCTTTATGGCCGTGATCCGAAGTTACCACTCGACACCCTACTTCCAACCACTACAACGCCATCAACCGAATATGCACGCGACGCTATTGCTCGTGTTGACCACGCACGTCAGATCGCCCGCTCTAGACTTTCGGCTTCGCAAGCCACCCAGAAAGCCATCTACGACAGCCGGCATAGTGACCTTCACTTCTCACCCGGTTCTCTTGTTCTCCTGTGGTGCCCAGTTCGTCGAGTTGGCTTATCAGAGAAGTTGTTGTCTCGCTACATGGGTCCTTACCGTATCATCCGCCAGGTAACCGACTTCACCTATGAGATCATTCCTGCATCTGAGACCACAAGCCTGCCTGCAACCACACCCAGTAATGTTGTGCACGTCAGCAGGCTAAAACCTTACCACCTGCCTACTGAAGACCGTAGTTAATGTGCACCGAGACAACGCTTTTACCTGCCGGGGGTGTAATGCTACGTAGCTGACGTATCAGCGGTCAGAAGACGACAACGAGGAAGTGGTCTGTCTGTTGTGCGTGCTGTCTTCCATCTTAGTCGACGCCATACGCATCAGTTTGAATATAGATTTTAAATAGACACGCCTAGTGTCATTTTTACGTAACAATATTGCCATTTTAGACGTCATACACTGGCCTTCACTCTGACATAACTTGACATGTGCCTTTAATGTCCCTTTAGCCCAAAAAAGGCACACCAACACCGCCATTTCGTGGCCACACTTCAGAACCTTAGCCAAGAATTAAAGGACGCCTTAAGAATTTTTCGTTAAAAGTCTTTGTAGCATTGTTGTTTCACTATTCACCAAGTTACTGAGTGCTTACATGTTCTGCTAGAATAATTTCACATGGAGTTGAGACACTATACAGTCTAGCCCACATAGTAACGGCCCCACATAAAACGAACTTCCGCTTAAAACGAACAATATCTGCGTGACCGTGAAAATATACATTGGTTCAATGGCACAAAATCACACATACAATGAACGTCCCCAAGCACCGCTGATCTGTGGTTACAGCGAACGGAGTCGGCGCTCTGCCGAATTCCAGGGAAACCACTTTCGACTACCGATCAGGCATCAGCGAGGTGCCCATACATTTTTAATGTTAAACGCCGACCCTGCCTCCGCACCCCTTTAGTTTCCGCTCTACTTGACAGATTTTTGTTAAGCACCCCTCCATCCTTTGTCCCACCGCTACTCTGAGCACCCCGCATCGCCAGACGAGGCCCGTGTTTTCACACTGCCACCGATCTTTCTAACCAGGTCGGCCATCTACCCTGTTTTTGATCGCTAGTACTGTCGTTGGCGTCGCCGGCCTGGAGTGACCAGACCATTTGCAAACATCGTTAGCCATCGACTGTATCCGATAGTCTGCGTCTAGTGCAGACACGTACGCTACCCCATTGACTCTGATAATTTGCGATTCATTTCGTGTTTAGGACTTGTTCTTGCTCACTTCGCACTTGGCTCAGCATGGCCTCTACACGCGTGCGGAAGCGCAAGAACGGCTTTTATTTGCGCAGAACGAATCGCGAAATATCGAAAGTTCGCGAGGCAACGTAAACCCGCCAGCGCAACAAAACGATTTTTTGACCATCGCCGCCAATTCTTTGAACACCGCCGCGCGCGCAGGCAATCTTTTAATTTTTCCTACGTACGTGCGAGTTGTACCTTTCGCAGACCTTTCAAGCAAGCTACCCAACCTGCCTCCTTCCCGTGTGTTTTGGTTTTAGGGTCGCTTTCCCGCCGCATTTTCCCCTCTCTTCACTCCTATTCAACTCCTTGCCCTTCTCTCGCAAATCTGCTTTCCTTTCTTCATCACAACCCCTTCGCCAGTCTCCACCACTCCGCTACGCCAGGTACGCTCACTTGAATTAGTTTCGTTTTCTGACTAGAAATGGGCCCAAAGCTGTTCCACGCGATCTAGCATTTGTGTCGCACATGCGCGTCTTGCTCGCTCTTGGTGTGCAAGTGTTGTCAGGATGGCAGATGCGAGGACTTGCACCCTTTTTTCTGCCGCTTAACAAAAAGTCGAAAGTGTGACCGCTTGGCTTGAGCATAATCCGCGTGTTAGGTGCCGCGTTGCGGAGCGCTTACTCATAGCTTTTGACCGCCTGGCAGCCAACTGCCAGGTGAAGCGAACGGATGCCGTGTCAGGCTCAGGTTCGTTATAAGCGGGCTCGACTGTATTGGAATTCCACGAGGCTGACCAAGAGGTCTTTATAACGTGTTTTTCCTCTTCTTGTAATGATAACACTATTGTGTAGCGAGGCAATGGCAATCTGTTTATGGGTCACTTGTGCCAGCAACAATGTTCATGCGCAAAGCATGGAATCTTACGTTTGTCTCACTGTCACGTATGAGGAAGTCTCCGTCAACAGCATGGTCATTGAGCACCTGGTCACACTGGGAGCGAGAGATGCTGCCAAAGTACCACTCCTTGGCATGCAGCTCTGGCCGTGGTGCTATAGCTGGCTGCGGCACAGGTGTTGAAGGCTTGGGTGTGGTTGATGCCGGTGATGGAGTCACCACCACCTGGGAAGGATGCCACAGCTTGTTTAGTGCACACAACAGTAGCTTCAAGCCTTCAAAAAGAAAAAGCACAAGGAAAGGCTAGCAACTTAAGAGGAATATAGCAACTAAAAAGCCCAAATGGAAGGAAACTAGCATAAGCCAAAGAATAGCCTGCATCAGCTTAAAAAATACAAAAATAAAAAGAAAAATGGAACACAACTGGACATGTAACATGAATATTACATGAAAGAGCATGAAAATTACATAAAATAACATGTATAACTACTTTTTCTTATAAAACACGAAAAGAAGACTCTCTTTGGTACACTTTTTAAAATATGACAGTGCTACTGTTTCTTACTAAGGAAACGCAAGCAATGAAAAACCATAAAATAAATTATGTGGGCAATCAAAAGTACCATTTTGATTCGTAACTAATGCTCTCTTAAATCTACAGATTGTTCTTTTAGCAATGCCCCGCAACGGTGGTCTAATGGCTAAGGTAATCACTTGACTGCTGACCCCCAGGCTACGGGATTGAACTCCGGCTCCAGCGACTGCATTTTCGATGGAAAGAAAATGCTGTAGGCTCGTGTGCTCAGATTTGGGTGCACGTTAAAGAGCCTCAGGTGGTCGAAATTTCCAGAGCCCTCCACTACGGCATTTCTCACAATCATATGATGGTTTCGGGATGTTAAACCCAACATATAAATCAATCATTCTTTTAAGAAGACTGCCATGCCTTGACTAGTGATTGCAACAACACTGCACAGTTCGTTCAGTGACATGAATATAGCCAACACCATTGAGATACACTGATAGCGAAAAATTCTGCATACAACAGCAGCTATTACGCTTCTGCAGATGTCCTACACAGGACTCGCTAGAATCAACAGTTTTTGACATTCCAGTCTGCATTTTCGCTGCTTTAAATTCTCAATGCAGAAGTTCAAGGTAATTCCTCTGTCTCATCACTAGATGGCTTTAAGTATAGCACTGAAATGTTACAGCAAAATTTTTGTGTTATTGCTGAGAGTCACAATATAGATATCTTATACTCTTGGCCTGTGCCACACTTATGAATATCAGTAAGAAAGATGCTGTGTCATCCTCAATTTAAGTTGAACCATCTTTAAATTTAGATAACATGTCAATATACATGGCATACATGAAAGATTTAGTGGTGTACGAGCCCATATTAGAAAAGGGGACTACATGGCATAAGTATTCAACTGTACAAACAAGGCAGGGGTGAGCGAATATTCAAAATTTCTATTATTTTTCAAATAGTGTTTTCTAGTTGATTCATTAGCACTGATATATTACCATTCAAGCTATATGAACTTCCCAAAGACAAATACAGTCAATGTCCAAAGGGCAATGGCCACTTCAGATTACAAATATGCTTCAAGTAATCACTTTCTCGTATCGCAGAAAAGCTGCCTTTCAGGCTCTGGTTGCAAATTTATTGACTAGACAAAACGCTGGTTCCAACATAGAGATGATCGATGTGGCAGAGATGGGAGCTCAATTAATGCTGTTTTGGACTTGAAATTTGAGCAGGAAGTCCAAGAAGTCGGATGCCAAAGATTTTCATCACCCAAAATTTCAGATGTTCTTAAAGGGCCACTCACCAGGCTCCATACCAAATTTTAGTTGGACAGTGGATGTTGTTGGGTGTCCTGATGAGGAACATTTTGCCAAAAACTTTTTTTTGAATCGGTTCATCACGAGCGGAGAAAACGGGTTTTTTGAAGTGGCGCGAAACGAGGATGAGAGGAAGCGAGCTCGAAACCCTTGCTGCTCCTCCGCATAGCCTTCGCAAGCAAAATCTCTTCCCCACCCTCTCTGGAATCCGACCAAGAGGTCACGTGCGCATGACGTGCCCGAACAAGTACAACCCCTGAGCACAGCAAGTGGCGTTGCTTTGTTGACCAGCGTTATTTTGTGATCTTCTGCCTGTTTCTGCGGGATGGTTTGAAAACACTGGCTTAAACGCGGTAGAATAGATGAGCACAATGAGTTCGCGAGCGCGTAGAAGTGCTCCACGGCGGTTGTCTGCTCGATGCGCTGACTGCGGGTACACGAACGCATGCCGAATGCCGACACATTAGCCCCTGCATCTCGTTGCAATTCACAAAGAAAAATGGAAAAAAGACGCTCACATTCCCTTATTGCGTCTCATTATTTATCTAGAGCTTTATTTATCTCTTCAATCAACAAATTACATAAACTACGCATGCCTGTGTTAAATAATTTTCGCCATGTCACGTGCCACTGTTTGCAACGTCAAGAGCAGAGTCGTCTACATAAAGAACAAACGTCACTGCATTGCCGTGTACATAGGACCATTCAGTACGCGCACGTCATGCCCTCATTCTCTGGGCGCTGCGCCAACAGAAGGGAGGGGGAGCAGCGTTCATCTTGAAATTTGACCCATTTCCGCGGCGCCTAGGGTTGCAAGTTTTGACAGACGTGATCATAAACGCCTAGTCTACACATTGCGCTTGTCAGCTCAAAATTGTCAAACCTGGTGAGTGGCCCTTTAACTATATTGACATCTACAAGACAGACTTAGAACACTGGATTCCAAAGGAGCACACCTTTGTCGGCCACATAAGTTGGGCTTCCACAGAAGTTTAAATAGGAGGAGAGGCTGAGAAAATAGAATATTTGCCTTTCACGTGTAAAGTGCTGTCGGGAACACTTTGATTATTCATGTACTAATACAACCTAGCCTCTGTAGACTGCTGCCATGAGGAAATACAGAGGCCGTGCGGTGCACGAGCCACCTCAGCACATTAACGGGTCCTGTGCCGTACGAAAGTGACGACATGCACTTTTCTGGTTAGGCGCTTTGTTTAATCCGTTCGAACTGGACATGACTTGGCCAAGTTGGCATGTTATGACGTCGCCACAGCGCGACTTTCAGTGTTCTTCCTCATCGGCCTACCGTCAGCAGACTTGCTGCTGCTGGTGCTGTCCAGCCCTTTGATATTGAATGTTTGATGACCCTTGCAGAATTGGCCATATGTATTATAATAAACAGTTTTGCAAATTAATGGTATTCATCAGCGAGGCAGAGGAGAATATGCAAGATTGAAATGCAGCTGGCTGCATCTGTTTCTCCGGCACGCGCATCAAGAATGTTGATTTGAATGTTGATTTGACAGCTTATTGAAGTTCTGATTACAGAAGAGCGCACTGCAACGTATGCACACCGAATATGCAATAGGAAACCTTTTTATGTAGCTCAGCGTACCATCACCACCTCACAGGTAATCGGCAGGCCGCTTCAAAATACTGACGTGCCACCGTAATAATTTAGGCGATCAGCACTTGACAAACGATGCCCAAAGGCAAGTGCTGTGTTAGCTAGCCCATCTACCTACAAAAAGTGACAAACGTCTCTGCTTTCCTGAATAAAATGTACGGCAGCATTTACCAAGAAACGAATGACAACAACCGTACGTGTTCACATTTAGCAAAAAAACTTGCAATGCAGGGGCTTTGGCCTTTGGAGATCACAGGCTTGGTAAAAACACTTCGCAGCCGCATTGGGGTGTCATGTGTTTTCGGACATTCATACGTGAACTGTGAAGAAACAATAATTTCATCGTCGACCATGCTCTTCGTGACAAGTAAAATGAGGCACTCGGCAACAAGGAGACCTTCACCTTCGACAACACTAACTTTTGACATTGCAATCTAGAAAATGCAGTACGTCCAACAGCAATCATTCGCACTTCATAGTGAGAAACTTAATGGCGCGCACACCCAGATGAAGCTGCGGTGCGGTGGATGGCCGCGCTGCGCAGCTCCAACCTCCAGGATCAACTGTGGGCCGTCCAGTAAGCCCATGAGACAGCGAGGGAACAAGGTCTCCGGTCTTCCTCAGGGGCGGCCTAGGCCCAGGCCACGAATTTACCAGAGTTTTCAAATGAAGTTGTTACCACCAACACACATCGCAGCCACTGTTACCTTTTGCAGCCGTAGCGCCCCATGCCGCCCCCTAGATTTAAAATGCTTTAGCAAATATACGTTAACTGACTCAGCAAACACTTGTTTAGTAACATTTTTGTGTGTTTAATGCATAATACAATAATAATTTACACATTTAAATAGCTTTACGTTAATTCTTTAAAATGTGACATCACTTCCATGTGGCGCAGGGGCCACTTCTATGTAGGGCTGGCTGCTGCACTGCGTGCACAGGAGACACTGCTTTGCCTCATTCTTGACAACTATGAAGTACCTGTCTGCCAGCGCTTCATCAATTTAGTGAAATGACATACTTGCTGCTATATCTCGTAAGAATATGCTTAGAAATACTCTCCAACTTTTTACCCGCAATTTCACTTCGAGGTATACGAAACATATTCTGTTTGTTTCGCAACCAAATTTTTTCTATGCGTACAGCTCTGAAATAAGGTTGATTGACTCATGGGGTTTGGCATACAAACGTGGAGGGCTCCGTATTATTTCAACCTCTGCTTATTCCTTTAACATGCACTGACATAACACGATATTAGGCCTGTACAGCATTGTGTGTTCATCAAAACACAACTGCCATGGCCAGGATCTAACTTGTGTCTTTGGGGTTAGCGGCCAAGCACCGTAAACACTGAGCCACCACTATGGCTGACCATAACAAGTACGTCTGCCATTGCCATTATACACGATTGCACCTACCTGAACATAGTTTTTGGGAACCAGGCCAGTGTCACCTGACTGGTTGCGTGCTTTCCACCAATCGGGGTCGTTCTCGGGCTTCTCTATCACCTCGAGCTGCTCGCCCTTTGTAAAACTGAGCTCTTCCTCATTTTGCGAGGCAAAGCTGTACAATGCTACCACTGTCTCCAACACCACTGGCCCGTCGGTTGGCGTAGCTGCCTCGTCCGGGCTGGACGCTTCCTCCTGAAACATAACAAAAATTATTTTGCTCCACGTACTGGCCGGTTGTGCCCGATCCATTGCCTCCTATCCCACAACATATTAGTGCTAGGTTTTTACATGCTAATACTGCATTACCATTACAAATGATGCTATTTCGGGCGGGATCCAGGACTCATTTTAACTAGATCCACTAAAATAGAAGTACACAAGCCTGTTTGCATACTGCTCCCATGGTCATGCAGGCGTCAAAGTTATAAGTGAACCGGTGTAGTACACAGAGAGAACGATCTGGTTTAGTTTCTCATTACTATGCTACAGAGACACTATGGGGTACCATGTGTGACCTACGAACCTTAGCAGTTGAAAGTGCTAAAAATTTTTTCGCTTCTAAAGCTGTTGAGTGTTCACTTGAAAAATCCAGCATCATCGTTACACAGAATCGATATGAACAGGACATTCTGCTTTTAGGAAACGACGTAGCTTCGAACAAAAATATTAACAATGCTAGTAAAGAAGCCATTCGAACAAGGGTAGTCCGCTATTTTCGTTTACAATGCATGTACACGTGAATGGCACTAGTATGAATAGTTTCGACTAACCCGGCAGTACTGAAAAATAGCCTAAGGCTTAGAAAGTAGTTGGGAACCTTGATTTGCCTCTCGAAAACATAATTTATCTCTAGCTAAACGCAGTTGAAACACCAAATTTCTTACGCTCAGCACATCATTTGTGAAAAGGCTCGTCAAAATTGGGAATTTTACAATAGTATGCATGCATGGAAAGTTCGACAATTAATGCCAATGGAAAAAAAGAGCACTAGTGTATACTATAGTGACATCAGGAGGAATTAAATTACTCCTAGGCATAAGCACAGCCACTAACAAATTTGTCATAATGTAAGAACAACATGCTGTTTTCAAATAAGTCCTACTGAATTTATCTAAACATAAAAGCTGCAGTATTATGTACAAGTAATTAATACTATTTTCTCTCCTAACTATAAAACTTCACATGAACTATTTCTGGGTAATTGGCAGGAAAGGCAATTATTATGTTGCACATGCCGAACATACATAGCGAGTCTAGGAAAGTGCAGTTTCTATGAAAAACAATAACATAAGAGGCAATGCCAGAAATCAGCAATATGCCACTGGGCTTCATATACATACTTAGCTTTACATATATGACTGTTTGCTTTTAGAAGAAATGCCTGTCATAGATCACTGCATTTAGTGAAGGATTGACAAGTCGTATTTTAGTACCCAAATCACACATTCAATAATGTTCATATTCAATGATCCTTATTCATTTTCAACTGCAACCACACTACTGTAGTTACCAAAACGACACTGACTTGCATGGATAAACTTTGATCTTCATTGTGTCCATGATTCCTGTATAGCTCAGTGCTGGCCAAGATCAGGAATAGAACATTGACATGAAACTGAAGTGCTACGTCAATAAAGTCCACAGCATTAGCTGCAAGTGGCAAGTACGGGGCAACTACATATAAGTAGTATATAAACAGGCTATAACGGGCATATGCATATAATGGAAAGCAGAATGGGTAGCTAGTTGTGAATGCTTTGCTAAACCAGCAAATATAACAAAAGATGTGCGACATCACGCAAGGGAGAAAACTAGGAAGAAATTAGGCCAATCCTGCATATGTTAACACCCTGCTAGAGAAGTTGTATGTGTGTGTGTGTGCCGCACGGGCAGGCAGTGCTTATGAGATGTGCGGGCAGAGGCGTCCGTTCCACTCAGTGACAACCATACGAAACTAATGCGGCGCATCACTGGAGGGAGGCAACGGAACAGGGCCGCTGACATCCCTACACGGGGATAGCATGGGGAAGCAGCAGCGCACCTGGACGTAGTTAGACGGGAACCATCCTAGGCGGCCGCAGTGCTCGCCCTTCCACCAGCCGTCGCTGGACTTCTCCATGACGAGCACGCGGCCGCCTTTGACGAGCGAGATCTCGTCAGCCTGCTTGGCCTCGTAGTTGTAGCGGACCAGCGCCGTGCCGCAGGCCTCGGCCGGGCCCCCGCCGCCGCCGCCCGGCTCGTCTGCGGCCACGGGCGACGAGGCCGGCGACAGCTTGGCCTCGCTGCGCTTGCGCACCCGGCGCCGGATGCTGTCGAAGAGCGACGGTTTCTCGCGCTTCACGTAGTTGGACGGCACGAAGCCGGCCTGGCGCTGCGCGTTCTGCACCTTCCACCAGTGCTTGCTGTCATCCAGCAGCACCAGGCGCTCGTGCTTGCGCAGGCTCAGCTCCTGGCTGCCCTGGGCCACGTAGTCGTACTTGGCCACCACGTACGTCTCCTCGTTGCCGGCCTTCCCTGGGACACCAGCATCGCGGGAGGGATCAATGACGGCGGCCGTCACCACCATCCCGGTGGTCCACATGCACTGCTCACCGGACTTGGAGTTTGACATCTTCGGGCGCGCTGCGGGCCCCCGCCGGGAATGGGCGCAATTGTTGCTAAAGTAATAAATACTAGCCTAGAAGCACCGATTTTAGTCTCATCTTAGTCCTAACCATTACTGAGATTCATGACACTCCGGGAAGCGGAGGAGGCAACAACTCTCCGACGGCGCCCAGACGGGAAATCGCGGGATAGCGCGAGAGCCGCGCGAGACTTAAACAACTCCTAGACCATGACCTACTACACTCCTGACCTGTTCAGATAGCGGGGTTCCTATGGGAGCGCGTGTCCCCGCTCTCGTTCAATCGCTCGCCGTAGGTGGCGCTACCTATAACCTGTTCGTCTGCTTCTTTACGGTTGTTTTGTAGGCGCTGGTATAAGAATGCCTGCTTTCTGTGGTGAACTGTCGGCATATATGTGACTATTTCTTCCCATACATTGCTGGTCAAGTAAGCTGTTCAGTGCGCTTAAGAATTTATAGCACACTGGTTGACAAACGTGGAAACCCGTGGATTTACATGATTTTGGACAGCCTATGCGTTGTCGCGTGCATTTTATTGCAAAAAAAATTCTGAATGTCTTTTAGTATTATTATTTCTGGATATTTCTAAATTGTGGATCATAAATTCGCACTACGAGTGCTTTGTTGGTTAAAATTTGACTACAAAGAGTGAAGGTGACGTCAGCGAACAGGTGCTGCCTAGCGCCACGCCGCTCGTAGGTGACGGCCCTAGCGGCAGAAGGTATGAACTAGAACGTGGGCGCTGGAAGAGGTGCTCTCTGGGCAGGTCAGGAGTGTAGTAGGTCATGTCCTAGACAAATACGGGAAATGGAAGACCACGAGTGGAAGACAAACTGACCAAGCCCAATCGCGCAGATACACGGAAAGGGGAAATTCTTTTTACAAAATGCACCGTGAAGAACATAGAGGGTTTGGTGAAGGAGACGCGATCGCGATGGATACGGCCTCTAACGAGTAAGACTAAAGAGAGTGGATGCCTCGCGTGGTCTCTGCTACAGCCTACCCTTCTAGTACACTCTATCTCCGCGTCGTCTTGTATACAATCTCGGAGGCAACAAATAAAGCAACTTTATAATTGGTTAATGCCACACCCTTGAAGTAAACAAACAATCTACAACGTATCGGTGTTTGCTTTTATATTATTTTTTCATCCTGAAAGTCTTACTTTGGCCTAAAGAAACTAAACTCCGATTGTGCCAAATATTGCGGCAATGGTTTTACTACACCGAAAAAGTTTCAAAGTTTTATTTTACTGAAATAAAAATTTGTAGTTGTACGCGTCCCTTTCGCGGAGTTCTGAAAATGAACAGCTGAAACGACAGCAGGGGGCAGGGGGGTGTGTCCGCTTCGCCACTCAAGCCCGTGCTAAGGATTCCCCATTTCCCCCACTCCTTTCCTTAAATTCCTTCTCGTCCTCACTGCATCTTCCTGCATGGCTTTCGAGTTGCGCACGCACACCTTACACGCACAAACAAAAGCTAGATTAAGTGGTAGCGAAGCAAGCGCTTTTCCGACATTCCTAGTCGACGCGCGCTCGCATTATTATTAACTTAGCTGCCCGCTACATAATATACTGTCCGTAGGAACCATGAGCGCCGACAAGTACGCCAGCGGGGCACTCGGAGAGCTCGCCGCTTCGTGGCGCCCGGCCAGAGTGCGGTCTTTTTCCAGCTGAAGGCTATGTGCCGATGGTCAACGATGCCCGCTTGCGCTGGGACAACCGTTGCGACTGCAAATATAGGTGCTTCCAAGCCAAATAGTGTTGCTGCTAGTTTGCTTTGCTGACCGCCGCGCCATGCACGCCTTGATCGGGCAGTGTCCCGTCGGCCTTACGGTATGACGACGCAAGCGAGCGAATGGAACTGCGATCTACTAGCACAGTCGCTGAGCGACTGCCTGAGCCCCCACGACCTGAACCTCAACTTGTACAACTTCGACCAGACAGATGCTTCCGACTGCCCCTACGTGCTGACCAGCCCGCGGTCGCTGGAAGCGTGCGCTAACCAAGGCGTTAAGGTAAGGAGTCGAGCGGTCATCCTAGGAATTGTCTCTGAAACACGATATCCCACATATGCAGCCGGTGGAGCTACTGCCGAGACTCTTCGAGGAGTTCGCGGAAGAGCTCGCACCTGGAGTACCGCCGGAGGAGGCTCGGCGGCTCTTCGAACAGGCTGAACGGGAGCGCACCGCTAAGCTGGCGCGGTGCCGGCGCGAAAGAGAAGCTCTCATTCGCTTGGACCGGCTCCGTCGCCGCCGGTCACTATCCCTGTCTCCCGGGAGCCGTGTCGTGCAACGCCGTAGCGGAACCAGACCGCTCGGGGTGCTTCTGTCGTCAGGCAAGCACGTGCATGCCCCTGAAACCGAAACAAGCCGCTTGTGTCACGAAACTCGTCAGGGAGGCACCTTTTCTGAAATTGCAGGTGTCGTTATGCCCTACAGTACAAATCGAATAGAAAGACGGCCCATATTTTCCTCGGATGAAGTCCAGGAGTGGTCAGTGCACAGGACCATGTATTGTGGCCAGCACATCCAGCGCTCATTGCTCCACTTTACTTCAGCAGCAAAGTGCAGCTATGAGTTTGTCCCATGTCAGCGTTCATATGCATTACAGCGCGTACAATCATCGGCAAGCTCATCATGAACACTCTGACGCGTGAGCTGGACTACTTTGACTGATGCCAGCCGCGAAGCACTGGGTGCTTTTGCCGAGATGACATTTCGATATTCTTCGATAATCTGTCGGCATGCATGGGTGACATCTCGGAAAGAAAACCCAAAGGCGCTAGTCTGAGTCTAGCCATTTCAGAATACACTGCAGAGCATTCAGATTAAGCTTATTGACTGTGCATTTAAAAAAGAACCTACCACTGTGCACTTCATAAATCCTATGAGGTGGTAATTGCTATATTGCTGGTGTCTTGCCTGCCGAGCTATTTGCTTTCTCAGCATTTGGCTACATTATTAAGATAAAAATAAGGAATTTCATTTATAGTAACATTAATTATGAGCAGTAACATTTAGAATTGTAGTTAACGGCTGTGGTAGTTTAGCAGGTAAAGTGTTGCGCTGCTAAGCTCAAGCACATGACTTCAATTTCTTGTCACGGTGGTCCCATATGGTCAGTTAGGTTGATCCAAAGTCGCTGCTTCTTATCACTCACTAAATCTTGACTGTAAGGTTGTCATTAAGTTATGCTTATGTCATGCAGGCATTTAGAAAGCCTTTGAGACAGTAGTCTTTTAACTCAATGGTAAAACTTGAGCTGCTACTCGGGTGGTTTTGAAGGCTGCGGAGTGAATATTCTATAAAATAGTTTTTTGGTAGAAAACAATGCCACCTGGCAGGGCGGTGCTTCGGATGGAGAAGTTAGTGAGGAATATAGTAAGCTTGGAAATGAGTTTGGTTTCAGTTGCCTGCAGGCAGTTGTTGGGGCAGGTTATGCTTTGCGCATAGGTATCTACTGCACCCTTGTCGAGAAAAATAAGTGGACCAGTTTTCGGAGCAGTGCCATGCTATCAAGTTTTTTGTGAATTGGTAAAAAGAGGGTGCAGACGCTCAAAATGCTCCTGAAAGCCTACGGTGGTGACGCGATAAAACAAAGGCAAGCTTTGATGTGGTACAAGAAGTTTTGGAAAAATCGGGAATTTGTTGATAATGACAATTGCTCAGGAAGTTGGTTGAAATCATGAAAGGACGACTCGCTGCAAGAAGCGCATCGATTGTGGACAAGGACCGGTGATTGGGTGTTTGGATTATTACAGAGTAGTGTGGAATACTCGGAAGAATGGTTCATTATATTTTGATGAATTATCTTCAAATGAGGAAAGTTTGTGTGAAAGTGATACGAAAAGGCCCGACGAGTGTAAAGAAGGAAGTGGGCGTGGCAACGCTAACCAACCACGGTACAGCCTCGATCTGGCACCACTAACTTCTTTTTTTTGCTCAATAATTAAAAGAATCCATAAATAAACTTGGCATGGGACTCTAGAGACGGTAAAAGCATCTCCTACGACCTCACTGAAGGAGGTTCTCGTTCGTGGCTTTTCGGGCGCCTTCAATGATTTGGTGAAGTATTGGCAATGGTGCATCAAACCAGAGGGAAAATACTTCGAAAATTTCTGAAAATATTGTAAAGTCATATTGAACAAAACATTTTAAAATAAAAATTCTGGGAGCCTTTGGGACAGACCGTGTCTCAACAGGAGGAGGTGGAAAAGGGAAGTGATGTTGAGGAGGAAGGAGGCAGTGCATAGCATACCCGCATATAGTATAGTGTAGCAAGAGGGTCGTAAATGAAAGTGAGGGTGTGGAGGACTAGAAAGCTCAATGCTGCATTACAAACGAAGGTTTCCTTTCCTGTCATAGGCGCTTAGAAAACTGCACATCTAGAATGCCAGTGCATGCTTGCCCATGAACGCCACTGTCGCTGAAAGGCAGGCAAACCACTGCTGCGCACTTCCTACAGCTTTCTTGTTGAGTGCAACTGCATATATTTTCTGTACGATACAAATTATTTGTTAAAGGCTTTGACAGTCAGGCCCCTGTTTATGTCGAGGCTGTAGTACTATGCCGTAGCTATAGTGACACAGACGCGACTAATTGTTAGAACTTATTGACTTTTAGTTATCCGCTAGAAGGCAGTTTATACAGGAAAGTTGTAGTCCATGACAACTCATTGCACACCTGTTTGTTTTTAGAAATTGCAAAAGTTGCATGCACGATTTGAAGATTCATTGAATTTTAATGGTGGTATAAAACGTGACTGCACCCAGGACTTAAGAGTTGTGGCCACTTTTTTATGTCAGACCACCAGACCTACCCATGACAAGGAAGTGACAAATACGAATCAAGGTGCGTCGAAGAAGAATCTGGTCTGGGAAAATGGCAAGCAGCCCATCTTAAACCGATAGAGCATTTATTCTTTGGGTGCGATGTTTATTCCTTATCGTCTTCTTAGGGCTGTAAGCAAGAAAACGGCAGTGCCGACTTTTTCTCCCTCTACAGAGCAGAAAAATCAGCTGCAGTCATTTGGGGCCCTTCTTGCTGAGAGGCAAGACAGTCACTGCACCTCTTTTATACCTTAAGGAAGAAACAGAGAGTACTGCACATTGTACACAAAGAGTAATTGGTTAGGGTCAGTCCTTCGGCCTTCTTAAGAACAGCACCCGTAGTTTACAAGGTGTGTGTCTAGGGTGGGTCAGCTAGTTATGTAAGCAAAAGCAAGATCTTTCATGAGTAACTATGTCAGCACAGGAATGATGTGTGGAGAATGCACATGCAGCATAGTGCTCTTGCAGAGAACAGTGAGAGGTGTGAATATAAAATCCATCTTGAACTCTGTTATGAGTTCTGAAATCAATCCAGAATAGAGACCCTTATCTGAGTCGTGACACGTCCAGAACACATTTGCGAACATTAACTGCTTGCTGGGAATTGTGCCTTTTAAATACGGCAACGGCCTTCGAGCCATCATGTCAAGAGGAAGCTAAGGGTGAAAAGACAAGTTACATTGCTTCTAAAACCCTTGTGGCCACCCCCTAAAGAATAGACTGAACCAGTCTCATAATATCAGGTTCAAAAACTGGCTGGAGCCATTTCAGCTTCTAAAATGTGTGATATGTGTATTAGATTTTGTAGCCTCCTGTATTAAAAGCAGCATAGAAATCGCTTTATATGTCTACCTGTGTCTCTTTCCCTTGGACAGCACTTCTTTAAAAAAAAAAAACTTCGTGGTTTCATGTATCTAGGAAATGCTGCAGGATTGGGACATGATTTTCAGGATTTGTCAAAGGAAATTGTTGTTAATCAAACCAATATATGGTAATGACAAGAGAGTCATAGGGTATATTAATTGTAGTTTCTAATTACAACATAATAATTATAACATAAATGGAACTTGATTAGAGTGGACAAAAACACACCTTTTCCATTGGGGAATCTGAACCTTCAACAGCGGTTATCCTGTCTACGCGCTACATGCCCGGCCCATGTACATTTCCTCTTCTTTATTTCAACTATGATATCCTTAACCCCCGTTTGTCCCCTAATCCACTCTGCTCTCTTCTTGTCTCTTAAGGTTACACCTACCATTTTTCTTTTCATTGCTCGCTGCGTCGTCCTCAATTTAAGCTGAACCCTCTTTGTAAGTCTCCAGGTTTCTGCTCCGTAGCTAAGTACCGGCAAGATACAGCTGTTATATACCTTCCTCTTGAGGGATAGTGGCAATCTACCTGTCATAATTTGAGAGTGCTTGCCGAATGTGCTCCACCCCATTCTTATTCTTCTAGTTACTTCAATGTCGTGGTTAGGCTCTGCGGTTATTACCTGCCCTAAGTAGACATAGTCTTTTACAACTTCAAGTGCACTATTACCTATCTCGAAGCGCTGCTCCTTTCCGAGGTTGTTGTACATTACTTTCGTTTTCTGCAGATTAATTTTAAGACCCACCTTTCTGCTCTCCTTGTCTAACTCCGTAATCATGAGTTGCAATTCGTCCCCTGAGTTACTCAGCACTGCAATGTCATCGGCGAAGCGCAGGTTACTAAGGTATTCTTCATTAACTCTTATCCCTAACTGTTCCCATTCTAGGCTTCTGAAAACCTCCTGTAAGCACGCGGTAAATAGCATTGGGGAGATTGTGTCTCCCTGCCTTACACCCTTCTTGATTGGTATTCTGTTGCTTTCTTTATGAAGCACTATGGTAGCAGTTGATCCCCTGTAGATTTCTTCCAGAATGTTTATATATACTTCATCTACGCCCTGATTCCGCAGTGTCTGCATGACGGCTGATATTTCTACTGAATCAAATGCCTTCTCGTAATCTATGAAGGCTATGTTGGTTATACTCTGAGCATTTCTCTATTACCTGATTGATAGTATGAATGTGGTCAATTGTTGAGTAGCCTGTTCGAAATCCTGCTTGTTCCTTTGGTTGATTGAATTCTAATGTTTTCTTTACTCTGTTAGCAATTACCTTTGTAAATAGCTTGTATACTACAGAGAGCAAGCTGATCGGCCTGTAATTCTTCAAGTCCTTGTCATCTCCTTTCTTATGTATTAAGATGATGTTAGCGTTCTTCCAAGACTCTGGTACCCTTCCCGTCAGGAGACACCTTGTAAACAGAATAACCGCTGGTCATTAAGGGTAACTAACTGGATTCCCAGAGAAGGGAAGCGAGTTAGGGGGAGACAGAAGGTTAGGTGGGCAGACGAGATTAAGAAGTTTGCGGGTATAAATTGGCAGCAGCAAGCACAGGACCGGGTTAACTGGCGGAACATGGGAGAGGCCTTTGTCCTGCAGTGGACGTAGTCAGGCTGATGATGATGATGATGAAACCTTCAACATTTGAATGATATGGGTTCGTGCCCAACTGACAAAAAGGGTGTTCTTTCATCCATTTTAATTCCTTATCATTTATGCCATAATAACTACACTGAATTAAAAACTACAATTAACGTCACCTATGCCTTCTTTGACGTCACTGTTCATTGCTTTAATTAAGTGGTATCTAACAAACAAAAGGAGTCCTTGATCAATTCCCCTTCTTCCACCTTACCATCAGCGTAACGTAACTCATGCACCACTTACCTTGCACAATCTCCTGCAGATGAAGATGATGGCAGTGTAGATGACTCAACGAGCACAACTCGTGAGCCAAGTTCATCGGCTAGAGGAGATTCTGATGAAGGCAGCACACCCGGATCAAGCACAGAAGGCAGACCCGCTAGCAAGTCAACACCTACTTCCCCATTCAGGCAACCAGCACCATTGGTCCCGGTGCCAGCTTCACTGCTTCCGTGGGTGGACAAACCCAGTCTACCAGCCAAGGTAACGACCAATCATCTTCTATTCATTTTGCGCACTGACGTGAACCTTGGTGGCAAAAGCAGGGATCTGATTGGGGGTAACCAAATCAAGATTGAGGCACATGCCAATATTCCGAGTCTATTTGAGGCAGCTATGTTGTTGAACTCCTCCACCACATCGACCTTTTGAGCCTATCGGAGGGCCCATAGCAATGCACTGACCCAGTAAAGCTGACAACACGGTGAATTTGGCATTAGGGTAGAATTTCATAGTATCCAGAACAGCATTTTTTTATTTTTAAGTGCTTTACCATAAGCCTCCTATCAGCTTTCACTAATGGAGGTCCTCTCCATCCCTATCCAACATGAAATGCGAGATTATAATCACTCGTCTATCCTCAACTGTAACCAGTGCTTACCAAAATCATGGCATCCTAAGAAATTTTGCCAGCTGACTTGCAATAAGGAAATAGTTAATTGTACATGTTAAATGCAACAAGATGTGATACATGAATAGTACTTGCGCTATATAGAAAGTAAGAGGTAATCATGGCAGTTTCGGGCTGCAGGATGTAAAGCTACTGCAGCTGATGCTCCAGCGGCGGCAGCGTGACGAAGAAGCAGCTGAACAGCGCCGGCTGGCACATCGTGCCTGGGATCAGGAAAAGGAAAAGCGTGCCCTGCAGTCTCGTGACAAGGTAGGTTGCGTCTCACTATGCTGGGGCCCTGAATGCGCCTGAGTGAACAGCCCATCGATTCAGCTAAGCCACACCAAACGCATTGTGCTTTGGCATTGTGAATTCACTGAAGAGGTAGCATGACTAGCACGATTGAATAAGTGCATGTAGTCCCTGTTGCCTGGCTAGTTTTGAGGCAGAATGTTGGAATTCCCTGCCAGGTCAGTGTTAGCTTCCTGGCTTGCTGTAGCATTGTTCAAGATACCATATTTGCACGAATATAATGTGGCCATTTTGCCCTCCCTTTCTCATTACTCTTCCTTAGGAATATAAGCAAGAGAAAATATGTTGCATGGTGTTCGCAGCGATCTTCTGAACATAAAATAAAAAATGAACCCGTGCGTGCTTTTTAAACTGTACCCCAAGACAACCAAGCTCTACAGAAAAGCCGATTTCTTGTTGCATGAGCATAGCATATCATGCAATTCGGAGCAAGCCCCCCTCCTCTCTCTCTATTGAAAATATTTAAAATATGCGACCTCTTCTTCCCTTCCACCATTTTGTCAGTATCATTCACTGTTTTTATTCAGCTGATGAGGGTGTATTAAAACAGGGAGTTTAAATGTATTCAATGAAGCATTTAATTAGAAGCATGGGTGTGTATTCCCTATTCTTAGTGGCTCTTTTGTCGCCTTCTTGAATTTTGCTCCATGACTGAGCAAGGGCCTCCTTCAAAATCTTGTTAAACTATCCTTCACCGTACAGGAAGGAGGGGGGGGGGGGGGGGTGCCCGCTCGGAATATTATAGTAGAAGAGTAGGGGAATATGTGCAAATGTAAGTTGGTGTAAAAATGTGGACACGGAACCATGCAAGTGGTATTTTCAGTTAGCACATGACATTTTGTTTTTGTACACATCAGTGAAATTGGCCATCTGCCACTTTAATTTCTTCTAGTGTTGGTGGTCTAAGTCAAGTTTGACTGCCTGTTTCTGTAGAAAAAAAAAATTCAGCACTCCGTGTAAGAAAATATCAGTTAGGGAAGCTTTATGAGTTGTAATGAAATACATTACCTTCTTCACTAGCACCCCCACAAAATGTTGCACTGTATGGGAGTACAGTGTTATTTAGAAATACCACTGCAAGAAATCCATAGTGCACAATTCAAAATCCAGTCAGTTTTTGTTATTTTTTTTCTTGTGTCCCCGTAGACCATGTTATGGTGAGAATAGTTGAAGGGTTAAGAATGATAAAATAACTCCTTCCACTAACACATTTTGAAAAATGTTGCAGTGAACTGCAGTTAATCTGCAGTTCACTGCACCAACTGCAGTGATAATAATAATAAATCTACATTCAGTAGATTGATAGTGCACAGAATTTCAAAGAATGTACAGACAGGTTCGCAGTTGAAGGGAACACTGTCGTGTGCACCATGTCGGGGTTTTGCTCTCTGGCAAAAACATAGTGTCTTAGGTTTGTATTAAATTACTGCTGCTTGACTGTTCGAACTCCTTTTGATAGACTGGTACAGGGCACAAACAGTGTTCATAGGTCTACTTGTCGTTATGGGGCCCACAATATGGCAGGTCATCATTGAAGTGTTCCCTTTAAAGCGCCACTCACCAGGCCCCATACCGATTTTAGCTAGACAGTGTAAGTTGTTGGGTGTCCAATGAGGAACGTTTTGCCACAAACATTTTTCAAATCGGTTCATTACGAGCGGAGAAAACAGGTTTTTTGAAGCGGCGCGAAACGAGTATGAGAGGAAGCGAGCTCGAAACCCTTGCCGCTCCTCCGCGTAGCCTTCTCAAGCCAAATCTCTTCCCCGCCCTCTCCGGCATCTGACCAAGAGGTGACGTGCGCATGACGTGCCCGAACAAGCCCAGCCCCCATGCTTGCGAGCGGCGTTGCTTTGTTGACCAGCATTATTTTGTGGTCCTCTGCCTGTTTCTGCGGAATTGTTTGGAAACGCTGGCTTAGACGCGGTAGAGTAGATGAGCACAATGAGTGCGCGAATGCGTAGGAGCGTTCCACGACGGTTGTCTGCTCAATGTGCTCGCGGGGTACCGAACGCATGGGAAACGCTAGCACATTAGCCCCGCATCACGTAGCATTTCACGGTAAAAAAATGTGAGAAAAGCGCGCACAATTTTTTATTGCATCTCATTATTTGTTTCAAGTTTTATTCATCTCTCGAAGCAACAAATACATAAACTACACATGTTGTGTTAAATAATTTTTGCCATGTCACGTGGTATACTGTTGACAACATCAGAACAGCGTCATCTACGTAGAGGACCAACGTCACCGCATTGCCGTGTACGTAGGGCCATTCCTACACCCACGTCATGCCCTCATTCTCTACGCGTACGCTGGCAGAGGGGAGGGGGAGCAGCTTTCATCTTGAAATTTGATCCATTTCCGCGGCACGTAGCGTTGCAAATTTAGGCAGATGTGATCATGAACGCCTCGTCTACGCATTGCGCTTGTCAGCTCAAAATTGTCAAACCTTGTGAGTGGCCCTTTAACAGTGGATGGTACTGTACACTAAATTATCAATAAATGTTAATCTCTTCGATGTAATTGCTACTTAGGTAGAATGATTGCCTCTAGTATGATTGGTATTGTAAGTGTACTATGCTACTCTGTTGATCTCTCAGTAAGTGGAACTCCTGTTAAATGTAACACATTTTTCCAGTCCATTTAGGTTCTGTTTGATCAGAGTGTGCTGTAATGTAAAAAAAAATTGTTGCGCAGAATGAGAAAATGAGTGCAAGTGAGAACTGGACACTGATGTGCTTAATAGTATTGCTTAGTAATGTTGGGAATAGTGTGCAGGAGTATTAGTTGAAATTTATGTATATTTTGGCTCATCGGAAGACAGCTCCACTCTCCCCTCTGTATCATAGCTGCCCGAGTTATATTCGTGCAAATATAGCAATAGGAAGTATTGACTGTTCCGCTCATGTTTTAAAAGGTACGAGTTAGTATGGTGTGCTTGAGTCACTATCCGCATTCTGCTACCCTGTTGTTTGTGAAAATTGGCTAGTTCTCTTGTCTCGTCTCTGCTGCATGCTCATGGCTTGATATTTTGTTCTGTGCAGACCATGTTAGAGTACCTTGGGGCCTGTCAGTTTTGGTTTGTTTCTTTCGGCAAGTATCTTATTTTGTTTACTTTTATTTATTTTTTTTTGTGGATGATGGTGAAGTGTCATGCTTTATTTCCAATGAGAGCTCTGGGAAGCTCATGCATGGGGTTGGCTTGCATTTTTTTTTTTTGCAAATGGGCATTGACAGTCAGAAATGCACCTGGTGTAGTCTACACAGTAGACATTATATTCCTTGGAGTCACTACAATTGGCAAAATCATCAGAACAATCTAGTTATATGTAGGAAAAAAATAATAAAGCATGTCGTTTTACTTTTACTTCCTCAAAGGGTTGGAACCACCACAGCCACATACAAAATAGCAATGGAGATCCTCCAGCACACTTATAAAGTGTCTTAATGGTCGTGCTGTGACTGAAGACTGTGCGCCCGTTTTCGTTCTTCGTATGCTTCACCACAAAGTGTGGCGTATGATTCACAGTGTAGCTTAACTGCATTGCGGCGAAGCAGACATTCGGAGACTGCAACAACTGCGAGCGGACCGGCACACAATAGGACTGATTTGAGGCTCCGAGATAATCGAAATGGCGACAGCGGTGGCTTTGACTAATGTCATTTCAGATCTGCAATTATGCCGCGAATTTTGAAAATTAGATGGTGAAGAGCTTCAGTGTGTAAAATTTTGGACATCCTTATGCATTGACTGCATGTACTGGGCTCATGTTAATACCATAAAGTCTTTCTAATTATTGGGCATCCAATCCAGCACATTCTTTGCACTTTGTGCTGTCATGGGCAAATGATGTACAAACTAGTACAAACTTATGAACCGTAGAGTGAGTTACAAAGGATTCATAATAGAAAGAAAAGGTATGGCATCTAAATACAGACACGAGAGTCCAGAACGACACCTCTGTCTAGCTTTCTTCTCTTTTATTTTCGTAATTGGATCCCTTACCTTTTTTTACAATCAATACATGAGGACTACAAGATGAAATTGATCCATTTTTAAGGGATATCTACAGATTTCTCTCTTTATTGTGAAATAAATATCTTTTCTACTTTTCTGGTCTTGCACAAATTATGTTTGCAGTAAGACTGCACATTATGATTTAGAACGCTTAAAATTCATACTCTTGCGTTTCTGCTATGCATCGATGAGATACATAGGCATCAATTCGTTGTCTTTCGCAATATTGCCTCTTACAGTTGGAATTTCACTTCTGCTAGTTTTGCATTGTTTTCTTAATGCACGCAGAGGATAGCCTGCACGAGCTTTTGACAATTACTTTTTTCTTTTAAATTTGGGACCAAGTATTATGTATGACAAGAACATTGTTTTATGAAACGTGGATGCTCAGCAGCTTTGCTTTGCAGCGTTGGAGAAGTCGGCAGGCCTTGACATCCAGCAGCAGTTGTGAGCTCTTGGACAGTGAATCCCTTTCAGGCAGCTGAAGAAAGGCACAAGAGCACGTCTCGACAAACGTCGGTAAGCTCGAGTCAGACACACTTGTGTACTGCAACAGTAAATTAGGCCTTTTGGTGCATCATAGCAAAGGATAATGAATGGCGCAAAAACACTAAAAGAAACTGGGATTAAAAGAGTTCTACCATGTGGTTGAGCGTGGCTCATTTTCTATGTGGCCAGCAGAGAGAGTAAATTTTTTTTATTTCATCTAATCAAAGCAAGACAATGGAGAAGCCTTGTGCAGCATACCTCAAGTAAATACCAAGGCAGTTAGCATCAGTAGTGCTCTTTCTGTCCTGGTTTCTTCTCACACTCTGGTGCTGTTCATCATCTTACATTTCCGTAGCTTTCTTTGATAGTGAATTATCTCAATACTTTAATTGAACGACTTCCCATCCCTGTACTTTGTGTCCAGAGCCTTGCACCAGCATACCTCATGCAAACATTTGGGAAGTTAGTGTCAGATTAAAAACAAACGTCACTGTGTCCACTGATGTTTCCCTCTCTTGAAAACATATATTTGGTAGGGGGCTGTGTCATCATGTCATCATTTGAGTACTATATTGGCTTGAAAACGGGCTGTATTTGTTACGGCTGTGTTTGAAAATTTGGTAGAAGCACACTGAAAAGACACGAAGGAAGAGGCTGACAAGGACAGCGCTTACAAGTTTGAAAATTTGGTTGAAGCGCACCAAAAAGACACGGGCAGAAGAGGCTGACAAAAACAGCACATACCTTGTAAGTGGTGTCTTTGTCAGCTTCTTCTGTCTGTGTCTTTTCAGTGCGTTTCAGCCAAGTTTTCAAACATGAACGTAATTCAACTGGCCCAACTTGCCATCTTGCTGCTATTTGTTGGGATACCTTCATTCCTGTGATACCTCGTGTGACCCGCTCCAGACTGGTTGGTATCTTCAGGCAGCCATATGTCTGGAACTACACTGCAACAGCATGCTTCGCATTGAATAAAGTTAGCCATAGGCTCTGATGTGTTGAGTGTTAGCCATGAAAAGTGTTGCAAAATGCAAAAGCAAGGACATCCTTGAAAATTATCACTCAAGAATATCACTTCAGGCTTGATATATAAACGTGTAAACTACTGATGTACCAGTTTGTCTTTGCTTCCTTCCTTCAGGCAACGGCAGAACAGAAGTTGCATCGTGTCTGGGCTGAGGAAGAGACTCGGCGTCGGCAACTGCAGGAACGACTTCGCCAAAAAGAGCAGGAGTGTGCCCAGCGAGTCGCTCAGGCGGCTGCGCAGAGGCAAAATGAGGCCCGTCGCAGTGCACAGCAAGTTGAAGAACGACGTGGACAGGTATGCTCAAGCACGAAGGAATGGCTGTTGCTTGACTGCTCAAGACTTGCATGTATCCTGCTGGCATCTCGAGCATTGAGGAGACGATGCATGCCACTATAAGACGAATGTCACGGACAGAAGTATTGGCCTCAGGATTGTGGTTACAGCAATAAAAAAAAAAAATGAATCTTCTATGTTGGCCATAGACACGAAAGATTGGCCGCACAAGTGTGACCTTTGTAATCAAAATTATTATTGAATTGATTATGAGTGCTCATTTTTTTAGAATTTCGTCATGTAATAAGCATCAAACGAGGTTATTCATTGATGAATATGACGCGATATGTTGATGTTATGACGCGAATAGTCATAACATCGTTGTGGAAGCAAATAGCACTGCTCCTGAAGTTCTTGGACAGACAGACAAATAAACAAATAAAATCCATTTTGACACTTCTTACCTTGTAATTTTTTAAGCTATTAGTTGAAGGTTGTGCCTGTCAGACTAAAAATGAACTCAACAGAAGTAGTGAAAGGTTGCTGATGAATCTCGCACGATACTTAAAGTAAGTTCACTGTCACCGTGCAAGTGGAATCGAAACATGAAGTAACACAACTGTAAAAAATTTTAAAATTCTCATCAATTTACATACACTCTCCTTCATGGTTCTGTCTTCACCTGTCCAGGAGCAGCTTTCCGTGTCATATATTTATTGAGGAGGCCTAGCTATTGTGCTTTTAGTACCCTTCATTCTGAGAAAAAAAGGCATACTCGTGAGCCTTTCTGCCGCGTAAAAATAATTGATAGTTGTCTTGCTTGCATTTCCTTGGTTGAAAACTGTGCTTGCTACTTTCCTATCAAGAATCCTATAAGACGTTCCTAGTGCGCACAGTGTTCATGACCTGGGAAAACTGGGTGTGGCAATACCACATGGAAAGCATGCGAGATTGATGATGATTGCTGTGTGTCATAGAAAGATGCCCTAAATGTAGTCTTGTGCAAATAGTGAAAATTTAGGTTCATAGTGAATTCAAAGTGGATAGTGATATCGGTTGAATAATTTAAATCAATTTGAATAGTATATATCCCTCATTCTAAAGAAATATTGGCATATTTGTCATGACCCAACTAACCTGCACAATATTTTTATAAAATTTAAACAAGGCCTGTGCAAATGCCATTCTTTTGGTTCAATGGAAGTGGAAAGAACTTTGAATTGTAACTGGATTTTACTTTCGGTAGAATGCAAGTGATAACCTGTAAAATATGTCATGTTTTAAAATTTACTATATTTAGGGCATATAAGCCAGTATAACAAGCCTTTAACCTTAATAAAATTATGAATAGGTGTCATGTTAATATGTTGGTAACCCTGAAGTGGGGCTTTGCAGCAGTGCAGACTTTTTTTCGAATAGGCGTTTTCATGCTGCAGCACCTCTTTACAGCTGTGAAACCAGTTTTACAGAAGATTACATGACTAATAACACTTATTCGTTCATTTTCAAGATATTCGACAATTTCAATTCAGATCGAAGCGAATGTGACTACAGTAAAATTCGGTCAAATATTCGAAGCATTCGAATATTCACACAAGCCTGCCCAAATATCTCCTTTATTTTTAGAGTGTGGCATCAGTAGAGAAGTGAACATTACAGTAATTGTGCATGAAGCAATGTACTTCCTGATACCATAGTGCGCCTAAACAAACATGAGAAAAGATGAAGACAGGAATCGTGTTCTTTTAGTCTACAATGGCTTCTGGGGTACGATGAACTACCTATAGAGTTTCCTATAAATACACAAAAAGAGGGAACTCTGGTGCTAGTGTCGATGGAAGCTGCAACGCATTGCGCTTCAGCGAGCATGAGAATGATGTGTAGTACAAAGATATGGCTAATTTTCGTACTTTCGGCTCTGTTCGGTTTTGCGTGGCTTGGAGCTGCTTCATTATGCAATGACACACAGCAGTTGCACTTCACCACCTTAATCTTTTAGTCTCACCCATTCAAATCAGGGCACAATGTTAAACACAATTTGTTCTTTTATTCGAAACAAAACCGAAACACTGCACTAAATGAAGCCATAAGTGCGTTCGCAGTCCGCAAGCATAAAGACTAGGCAAATCCATGTACTACCCATCATTCCCATGATCGCTGAACGATAGCGTCAGAGTCCGCTCCAGTTAATTTTAGAAAACTCTATGGAACTACCGACACGCCCAAATGGCCTGTGTGTTTATGTGTTTATACATGTGTTTATTTGATTTAATTAGCAATTGCATGACATTGTTTGAGGAACATGCCACTTGGGGTAGCACAGCCATGTTGGTGTTGGTGACACAGGTGCTTCAGCAGCAGCGCCAAATGGACGCTGCATTGGACGTGTGGCGAGAGCGAGTGGCCGAGTACCAGGCGGCTGCCAATGGGCGAGCCCGTCAGGCAGTGCAGCAGCGTTTGGAGGAGCGGCGCCGCGAGGCTCTGCGTCAGCGACTCGAACGGGAGGCCGAGCAACGACGTAACCTCGGCCCGGATCGAGGCCGACCGGGAGCAACGGCTGCAGGCAGCAGCAGCTCGGCTGCGTGACAAAGAAGAACGTGCCCGACAGTTGGCACAGCAGAAGGAGTTCTTTGTAGAGCAGGTTTGCATTCTTTTGAAATACCTAGAATAATGTAATCAAAAGGCAAACCAGAGATGCTGCTAAAGCCAATCTTTCAACAAGTCCCTAAACAGTTGACCCCAGATACATTCCTTGGTTGATGATGACTTGCGCATCATGCCACGGTCCTCTCCTGAATGACTGCCTGGTCATGATTTCTCCATTCATCACCATCAGCCTGATTACTCCCACTACTGAGCAAAAGGATCTCCCATGTTTTGCCAACAACGCAGTCCTGTACTTGCCGTGCCCACATGATAACTGCGAACCTCTTAATCTCGTGTTACCACCTAACTTAATAAGCTCACCCTCCAATACCTTGCATACTTGCATTATCTTGATATCCAGTTTGTTTCCTCTTCATGACGAGTGGTTATCTTGCCTTGTACTATGGGTCCTGCCGATGCCTATTTCTTTTTCTTGATTTTGACTAGTATGACCTGAACATCCTTTTGTTTCCTGACCCACTATGGTTACACCTATCATTCATGCCTCGCTGTGTTCTCCTCAATTTAAGTGTAACTCTCTTCTTAAGCCTGCATGTTTCGAAGACAGTTCAACTTAGATGGAGGATGAATTTCCAGAATAATGCTGTGCTAATAGGCAGCGTATTTTTGCTGAGGCAGCTTATTGGATCAAGATTCAGCTAACAAATATGACTGAAGAAAGGTTATTGGGTGTTGGTGCACGAACACCTGTACTGTCAAGGGTGTGTTGACAGTCTGTTGTGCACAGCTTGTGGCTCCTGTGAAACGCTTGAGCATCTTATATGACACTGTCCTGCATTTACTATGCAGCAAGCTTGTGCGATTGATGATGATACCTCTTTTCGAGTGGCTGCATCGCTCTGCTGTGAAGTGCGGAAACTTGGGGAACTTGGTAGGACATAATTGAATGTATGAACAGTGCAACAGACAAGGACAAAGGAAGGAAGCAACACACAGCGTTGACTCTCGACAATGATTTAATAGCAGAGCGATGTACAGTGTCAATTTTTATGAAAGGGAACACGGGAGCGCGTGGCCTGCACGCTCCGGCGGCTGCTAATCATACGTTCAAGGGGGAGCGATAGCAACCACAGTCTCTTTTCGCGTCATCTCACCACGAGCAAAACAACCATTCATTGCTGATATGGAACCAACGGCAAGATTTCGAACCCCCTCCCCAGTGAAGGCGATTATGCGAGAGCCGGTAATCGCCTTGAAGGGGGAAGGGGTTGCTATCTTGCAGCGGTTCCACATCAGCACTGACATCTTGTTTTGCTCGCCGCGAGATTACACGAGAGGAGAATGTCATTGCTATCGCTTCTGCTCGAACGTGCTGTCAGCAGCCGCTGCAGCGCGCAGGCCATGCCTCGCCGTGTTTCCTTTCATAAGAATTGACACTGTACATACATATGTGAAAAAAATAGCCATGCGCAGTAGGGTGCAGATAACAACTACTGCAATACAATGCCAGCCAAATTCTTGTCAGTTATTGATTGAGCTGTCACCCTGTACACAGCTTAAAAATAATCGAGATACGCAATCTCTTTGTGCAATAGGACTACTGTACCAGTCAAACTTACTTATGTGATAGGCCTCAATTATGTTCACGTGTGTCTGCGAGTGTTGTTATCTTTCCCTGTCCTTATCCGTTGTGCTTTTCGTGCTCTGCTGTGCTCCACTTGGGGCCTAAGACATCTTGATAAATTTAAGTCATGTTGTGTGTTTATCCTCTCACGTGTCTTGTCCCTGCAGTCACGTCGCCTTGCCCTGGCCACTGCTCAGTTGCGAGAGCAACTTCGCTTGCAGCCCTCCTTGCCGCCCTCTTGGGGTCCCGGCCTCGTAAGGAAGTCCCGGTCTCATGAGTGAGTTTTCTTTGCCAGTTCGGTTGTATAAAGTATGTCTCTGTGCATGTGTGTCGACAAAGATTGTGTGTGGAGAGTGATCCTCTATTAGCAGGCTTGTACAAATATTTGAATACTTCAAATGTTCTAAACAAATATTATGGTATTTTACTTTGCTTAATTCGAATTTAAATTGTTGAAAATTTTCAAGTATTCGAAATGAACAAATAAATGTATATTAAACGGTTTCTGACACAAAATCTTTGGCCTCGCGTTTTCCTGCTGCAATGCATTGCTAGGGCCTGTTAGTCATGACACGACACATCGTTTGCTGCAGCACGTGACAGATAATTAATTACAGGCCCCCCATTATCAATCAGCTTCAGTTTTGGTTTGAGGAAGTTCCAAAAACTAGGTTCAACTGTCACCACCTGGTGTGTGCAGCTCTTGACCACTTCAGCACACAACTGTGACACACTTCCACACGGTCCGCATCAAGAATTACTTTCGAATAGGAAACGGGACTGGAATGTTGCCAAACACAAAACTTTCCAAGCGTGCGCCACGGCCACACACTCGCAACCAGCCGTCGAGAAATACAAACTTTGGTAACTAACGGGGCAGAAGAAAAATGGTGGCTATGACGTCATCATAACTTGAATTGTAGACCGCGGCATGGTGACGTGAGGGAAGTAGGAGGTCCCCTCTGAGGTGTCTATAACGCTATAGAGTCGGTCACTCATGCAAACTTCAAAATAATTTAAAATACCTTCTAAGCTATATCCGCTGTTGATATCTTGCAGATGAATATACGAATGTTCAGAAGAATCGACCCTGCAGACTACTATCTCAGCCCCGAAATTTTGTCTCGGTACCCCTTTAATTTGCATGTAACCCCCTGTAAAGGTAGTTTCACTGTGGTAGAGATGTGCTAAACTGTGAAAACATTATTTTTTCAGACAAAAAAACGTGAAAAAAAATGCTTCCCCTTTTTTTCCAGACAAAAACAAAACCCGGAGAAAAGAAAAGTTCTTATGTATTTCAATGTAAACTACTGAAATTTGTGTCAGTGATTAGACACGAGTATTTATTGTGTTACATTTTAAACAATAGCAACGTAAGAATGGGATCCAGAGATTGGAAGCACAATATGCTAGAGACGTGCAAACAAGATTTTGTGCTTCAGACAGGTTGGCCAACATTTCTCGATATGTTTACCTATCTTTGTCAAAGGCATCCTGCCAACATTAGCATATTAGTGGGAAGAATTCATTCATTAGACATATCTAGAAGCAACAGCTTGAGTAGTCTCAAATAGGGCAGTGTTGCCAGATCATAGTTAGCTTACAAGCGAATAAATATCTCTGAAGAAGCCCTCAAAAAGCAGTGTGATTTTGGCGAGAAAGCCCAAAATAAGCCGAAAGTTATCTAATCTTGAAGTCTTGAAAATATTCTTGAAATTACTCTAATTTGAAGGGTAATTGAACAGATGACACCAATTCTTTTGCTCAGCGAAAATATGCACTGATACTTTGAATGGAAGCACATATTTAGTTTTTAGCACTGTCTCCAAGTTAGTCTGCACTCGGTTGAATGCATGTTTGCCATTGCATGATTAACGTCAATTGCTGATTACCTCAATGCATTTTGACTTTCACAATCGACTACTCAAAGTCATCGAACAAGTGTACTATTAATGAGCTGCAAATGGCCTATTGGAGAACATGATGATTCCTAAAGTAACTATATTTTCTTGCAAAATACAAATGAGCACCAAAAAAACGTGGCAAGTGACTGTAAAATACTCACCAAAAAAAGAAGTCCAAATTCACCTATTACAAGCAGAACTGCCAACTCTGACGTAGGGCTACAGAAATGCTTAATATCAAGGACAGACAGGCACTCTTGAAATTTTTCTTGCAGTGTGTACTGTGACATAATTTGTTTGCTTCAAGTCCAAGCACATTTTGCCACCTATGTGATTATGTTTGCTATGGAGTAAAATAATTAAGGGTGGTATTCGTTATTGTGATAGAATGTCACCCACCTTTGCCTGTCATCTGTGTGGCAGTCCTAATGCTACACAACAAATGAATATGCATGATGCCCCGTACCTTCCATCCAGTTAGGAAACATTTTTCCCTCCCCTAGAAGCAGTGACAAGTATCCCTGGCATGGGAGAATATTGGAAAGCTTCTATTTTCAAATGACTATTTGTACAGTATTCAAATTTGCTTAGACGTAAAATGAAATTATTTGAAGTGAACACACAAACATATATTTGACTGTTTGTAAGCTCTTTGTAAAAGTAGTTTCACTTCAGAGTGGAAGTGCTATGCTGTGAAATGACTCATTCAGGAGAAATTCGCACTGCCGCAATGCACACTTTAAGGTTAAATGTACACATTAATTTTGTCTCGATTTATATTTTTTAAAGTTAAAATGCTTATTGTATGGGCATATATGTGGTAAGTATAGTAAATTTTGAAACACAAAGTGCTTTGTAGTTTAGTACTTGCACCCTATTGCTATTCAAAATTTGAAATATAAAAGCATGTGTCGCTCAAGCCTTGTTCTAACTCTTGCAAATATTGTTCAGCATAGTTGGCTCGTTACAAAAATGCATTTTTTTATTGTATGTTATATGGACTACTTGAACTATTTGATTCTAACTTATTCAACCAAATACTATTTGCTTTGAATCCAAACTTCAACTTTACTGTTTGCTCATCCTAAACTTATCTCTACGGCGTATAGGTATTTGTGTGTACTTTGAAAATATATCTTATTTTCAATCAATTGATTTTGCTGTGAATTGATAGGCCAGGCCAATGGTAGCTAGTGTAATGAAAGGAATAGCTAGTTGCAGATGCTGTTTTTATATTACACGGATTTCAAATGAGTTGTCCATCGCTTGAGTGAGCCATTGCACCAGATATGTCATTGCAGAAAAGTTAAGATAATAAGAAGAATGGGTCTTGACTGCTTGTTTCTTGTATATGGAAGAGTTTCTGTCAGTTTTAAAATGAAGAAGCAGAGTAGGGATTCTCACAAAGTCTTGCTCGTTTGCAGGGACATGCTCGACTGAGTCGGTCACTTCCATCTGGGGTTCCGTCCGGCTGGCTGGGAAGGGCAAGCAGACAACGCCAGCAGGGGGCCTCCTTTCTTCCTATATTTTGTTGCTTTATTCCTCTGGAAAGGGAAAATAAAATGTATGCCTGCTTCATACTTGTAGTGTGATGCAACTTCACTGGAAACTCATTCCAAGCTGTGCCTCACAGTGGTCACTCACCTTCATTGGTCATTAAGCAACCATAGTTTAATGTAGTATAGTCACGAATGGTCGCTTTGGTAAAAGGGCGACTGTTTTGGCTCGATCGATTGCTTAGTTTTTTGGTGGAATGACTGCAGTCGCAGAGCTTTTTAACCAATCATATGCACAGAAACAGGAAGTGTGCTTAATTTACAAGGCTAACGGATGTAAACAGCAATTATTGTGAAAAATTTTGATGGAAAACAGGTGGGTTGCACTAGTTTGGGCATTTATCAGCTTCTATAAGCCACTTCCTGGTCACCAGCCACCATCAGACTTGTGATCTCTGTCATTCACCAGTGTGGAGTGAGTGAACAACTTTATTCACTCTGGGCTGGGTTCCCGCCTAGGAGTCGGCCAAGAGACCATGTCTCTCAGCAGCTTCTTTGGCATCTTGGATCGCCCAGAGTTGATTATCTAGCGCTGAGCTGAATAGCGCAGTCCCGCCAACGCTCTCGAAGGTCCTCATTGGAGGCTGTGTCTCGTATTGCCAGTCAGTGCTGGACACTCCCAGAGAATATGCGCTAGTGTGGCCCTATTACTACAATACTTGCACAAATTGGCCATATACAAATCGGGGTAAATGTGTCTAATAATTATGGGATTAGTGTAGGTGCCTGTTTGCAACTGCCGCCATTGAAGGGACTGGGCCCGGTTGAGCTTGGGTTGAGGCAGAGAGTACTCCCGTCGTTGAAGTCTACAGTGTTGGGTAATCTAGTTGAATTTGGTAAATCTTTCCTTCCACTCCTCCACAAGAGAGTCCGTGCGGGTGGTGTCAACCACGGACGTAGCTCGGAAGATGAGACCTCGAGCGACGTCATGCACCACCTCGTTAAGATTGACTTCCGTGTGGTCGGGAAACCAGAGGATGCTTGCATTTTGGTCGTCAAAGTGGGTTTTGCCTTTAGTAAGGGCTTTCAATGCCACTAGAGAGATCCTATCATTTGCAAAATTTTGGACTGCTGTTTGTGAGTCGCTGATAATAAACTGGGCATCAGTGGTGAGATACTGGCGAGCGCGATAGCGGCCTCCTTGCCATGTTCATGTGATTTGTGCTGATTGAAGCGATGGTTATGCATTTGTGCGTATGATCTACAACCACAGCAACAAAACGACGACAGTTTCGATAGCGCACTGCATGGATGAAGACCGCCTCCTCATAGAGTCCAGATGTTCAGAGCATAACTTTGGCTCTACTGATTCTTCTACCTTTGTTGTGCTCTGGGTGCATGTTCTTTGGCAATGATGGTATTATGAGTTTAGTTAGGATTTCGCATGGTATGTTGTATTTGATATCACGCTGTGCATGGTAAGAAATGCCTGAGAATGTCGAGGATTTGGCGACCTGCTTTCGTATTGCTTAAGCACTCATACTGTGAGACCTGTTGCGCTTCAATTATTTCTTCAAGCTGTGTTATGAAGGACCTAGTGTAAGAAGGAGTTTCGTGCTGGTACTCTGCCGAAGCCCTAGCGCCTGTTTATAAACTCGTCTGATGAGCCCGTGAGTTTAGTTTTTTCCAGTGGTAGGCAGCGACATAAGTAATGTGGCTTGAGCACGAAGGAGTGGATAAGCCAGAGAATACTACATTTCTTCATGTCCTGATGTTTGTTACTTATTCTTTTAATGAGTCCCATCATTTGCACAACTATAGCTTCTAATTTGCAGATTGTCTCACCATTTGTGCCTTTGCTTTCAACCAGAAGTTGGCTCGTTGATCAGGATATCAAGTCTGGTTGTAGAAATGGCATCAAGAAATGATAACATGCTATTATGTGTTTATATATATATATATAGGAAAGAAGTGTATACCTAAGGGCTGGTTTTTCCGTGTTTTGACACAATAATAAGGAGATACAAATGTAATGTAAATAAGAAAAAAGAAAAGTGGGTCAAGAAATAACCTACCGTGAGCAGGTACCGTGACCTACCTGCTCACGGTAGGTTATTTCTTCACCCACTTTTCTTTCTCCTTATCTACATTACATTTGTTCTAATAACTTCCCCTGTACATTCCTTGGCATTATTGTCTGTTAGATCTCATTATATATATATATATATATATATATATATATATATATATATATATATATATATATAGGTATGGGATATGGCACAACGGGAGCGTTGTCAACAAGGATAAATATATTTATCCTTGTTGACAACGCTCCCGTTGTGCCATATCCCATACCTTCACGAAGACTAACTGGCCCATTGAATTATTACTCCCACTATATATATATATATATATATCTATATATATATATATAATATATATATATATATTGAAAAGGGGTTTATTGGTGTGTGTTGCGACGGCGGCTCTATGATGAAAACACGATCGGGACAGGGCAACGGTCAAGCAGATGCCGGCGACGATCAGCACGAGGCGAGCGAGAGGAGCTCAGAACTCAGTAACCAAGCGGTAGCAATGTTGCTTGCCTATGATGCGTTTTCTTCTTCACAATATATATATATATATATATATATACACACAAAAGCACAATTTCTTTATTTTCGTTCGGTTAATTGTGCATATATGTGTGCATGCAATGTTCCCATTATACCCGATGTATCTCAATACCAAACATTTCAGCGAAAATGCCTTTTGCACTTAATGTACGAGTTTACATATTGCATGTGCAAGCATTGCTTGAAAAAAATAAGCCATATCGATACGTGTTCTGTATTCACTCGCTAGAGAACTATGCTTATCATAATACAGTAATATTATTTCATGGCAGTGGCAGGCCCACTTTGTCATTTCTTTATGCATGCTGCTGCAATGCAATTAATGTACTTGTTTATTTTATTTTACTCCTACATAAATACAAAGCAGCACTTTATTATTTCTTGTATATAGTAGGCAATGAAGAAGGTAGTAAATTTTTAACCAGGAAATGACAGACCTATTGTATAGGTGAAAGCTGGTCGTAAGTCAAGCTGTTCTTAACCTATTAGACGTTTTCCTTGCTGAACTTCAATGTTGTGGAACTCTTGGTGCATTTTGGGGACTTATTAATTACAAAGCAGCTCTTTGACTAGCCTGTGTAATGCTGTCCCTCCGTGCATCCGTACGAACGCATTCTCCTCACCACAGGTGTTGGAGAGGAGCCAAGTAGGTCACGCTCCTATCGCAGTGCGCACTGACATCACTCTCAGGCACTGCGCCGTGCCCCCTACCGGGCTGCAGAAATTAGGTGCCCTTTTCCTCTTCTAACCACTACCACCCCCTCCATCACTCTCTCCCTTGCCTGCCGCACACTCACCACGGTTGGGCCCCCTTGTCCGTTCGCCCGCAACAACTGCCGCTACCACGTCAACCGCGTCTCGATCGCTACACCACCGACTAGTCGGTTCACGCGCAATAGACCTGACGCGCGCCTTACGTACGCGTTTTTGAAACATGCCTGTATGTGTCACCTCTTTCTCGCTTCAGCCTCTCCACCGCTTCGAGCACACAGTTTCCGTGCTCGAGCACGGAAACTATACAGCATGATAAGGGGAATGTGCATCGATCTGGTCTTGGTCAACTTCGACGTCGAATGTCTGCAGGAACCTCTCAGCGTGCTACACTTCACCGATCGCATGGCCGTGAATAAGGTGGCTACCGTTTTAGTAAGGTGAAAAGCGCGCAAAGCCGGTTCAGCGCCCGTGTCCACTTTGACTGACGGCAGCCATATCGCTTCAAAGGAATCTTCCAGCGCTCACCGAAGTAACCACGTTATAGCGCCGTTCAACCCGTGACGCAAGCCGTGAGCAACGCTGCTGGTTCGCATCCCATCAGGGTTCCCTTTGGAAAGATGGTGTGAATTTTGTGTTTCTGTACTGCTAGCTGTTTGCATGTCCACAGGGTTCACTTCTCTGCATTTTACTTCTTAATTTTAGATTGCTGTGTTTTGTAATGTTTATTTGTTGAAGTGTCCGCCAAGTAACATGTATTCCATGAGAGCGAGAGAGACAAAGCGCCGCTGTGCTGGGCTGCACGCGGGTTTCTAGTACACGTTATCGCGGGAGTACAAAGGCTGATGCATGACGTCACAACCTCGGCAGAGCATTTTTTGGGGGTCACGCCAACTTAGCGCATACCAGTGAGCATAGAATTTCTTATAAATTTAAGAAACTGCGCTTTAGTGAGAACAATGGCGGCGCCCAGGAAGCTTTCTGTGAAAGGCAGCAGCAGCCAACGCGTGAAAAGAAGATACTTGAAAGCTTCACATTGCTGGCAGGTGCTGAAAGAAACCTTTAAGCAACTGTACGGCGCATTTATGACGCTGCGGATGTAAACGTTTACAAACGTCATCCAATTTCGAACTCTGCTTCTCTATCATCATCATCGTGCAAACCGCTTAAAACTTTGGATTGAAGTTGGCTACGATTGTCTTGTGTGCAAACTGGTAGGTGTTCTGTGTGTGTGTGTGTGTGCATTCATTGCCCGGCTTCTGTGCGGCTGTTGCGAAGTTCACACTTCATTACATTGGTCAACACAGGTGGCCCAAACAACAAAAGCGATCATGGTACGTTTGTTCTCCCTCTTTGTAACCTTTTTATTTAAATCCTTGTTTGTCAGCGGTCTTAAACCATGATGTTCTACGCGCTGATGTAAATATTGAAGTATCTGTAATGCTCATAAGGGCGACGCGTTTGCTTTAGCGTTTGTTCATGGATGTTGCTCAGGCTGCGCGGGCAGTTCGATAATGTGAGCTTTAATTATTGAAGAGCCGGTTTATTCGCTGTTAGGCTGCATCGCGAAATGACTGTTTGCTTTGTTCGTTTCGTGCGCTGTCGACAACTTTCAAGTGCGTTTAATAGACCCGGGAACGACAAGCGCATACCCCGGCAAAGTACTCCATGCCCACGATCTCACACGGCTCTTGTTTCGCTTACAGGACAGCCCAAACGTGAACAGCATGCCTCCGATGCCACCTTTGATGATGCCGCCGGCACCGCCGTTCGGGGTAAAGCGTCGATTTCTTTGCTCCTTCAATCCGACCACAGTGGAAGAATAGTTTCCCACCTTGAACATGACGCACCTTTCTGGAGCGTGAATAGGTCGACATTTCAGCACATTTGGGTCCGAAGAACGTTGTTGAGTAACCGTGTTCTAGCGTGACTACAGAAATGTCGCGTCAGCGATCAGTTTCGTCTGTTACCGGCGCAATTTTGAAGAGCGGCCATTTAGCCACTGATCTGCGTGCTTGCAGATCGAGATATTGCAGTTAATAAACCGGAACCACGCAATTGTTTTCATGGAAATCAACTGATAGAAAAAAAAGGTAATATAGAATACTGCTAGAAGTCTACCTTACGACAATCTTATCTGCATGTAGTGAACGTGCTGAGTGTTAGCTATATTAGGTTTCAGTTGTCAGCGCTTCCTCACTTATTTTACAACCTTGACGGCAGCTGCAGGTGTCTGAATTTGTATTTATTTCCCATCACCAAAAGCTGTGTGAAAGACATTAACAACCGAGATCTTGCATCTGTTTGGGCCTCTTCAAGTGTTGAAACGTACTAAAATATATTGTATGCCACGAATATCAGTTTCATTTTCAGCGTTGTGAATATATATCAGCTAAACTGACAAAATTAATTGCCAAGGTCGTTGTGTTGGACATGTGCATGCGTGGCCGCTTTTTTTCTGTGGTAGGTCAATGAGGCAGGTGTACCACTGTTTGCTATCAGAAAGACTTTGTGTTCTTGAGAATGATTCTCAATAAATTGCCAGTTTTGGTTCACGGCCCGACAACCATAACGTGCGCCAGTATTGAGCACAATTTAGTTTTTTCTTTAAAACCCTGTAGCTTTGTTTTTAAAACTTTACCTTTAATAAAGCGTGTCAGCTACGGTGCATGTGATACCTTAGGATGTCTTCACAAACGTTATCGTTCTGATATGCGAAAATTGCTCGGGCATATGGCAGCATTGAAGCTTGAAACACAGGTGCCGACTTTTAGTGACATCATATATTTTCCGACACCACTCTCGTTTGTGCTGTTAAACCTATTGTAATGCCATGTTAAAGGGGCCCTGCAACAATTTTTGAGCGTGGTCAGAAAACGCTGCCGATCGGTAGTAGAGGCTCCCGATAACACGCGAGCTCAATGTTATAGCGCAGCACGTGGCCTGGAATTCACAATAAATTATTAGTCAGCTAAAAGTTGCTTTTTTCTTTGATTGACAAATGATGGAAGATGCTAAAAAATCACTCGTAGTAAGCCCATCTATCAGCCATTGGCTGATTTGAACATGGCGCCCTCGGTCGTTACAGAGATCACCGCGGGAGGCCGTTACTTGTCCACGTGTGCACGCGCGATCGCACTAAAAAAGCCGCGTATCCATCCTGTTCGTCGTACTGGATGGATTCTTAAAATTTTTGTGGCGTTGAATTTGTGAGGCAATAAGCTCTTCCAGTGAACTAATTCCATGGCTACTCAAAAAAGTGTTTCAGTGCCTCCTTAAGTCACTAATTGGACGTCGTGTATTAATTTCAACTTGTAAAAAGTGTTGTTGCTCTGAAAATAAGAACATATACCATCAAACAATTCTGGCTCAGACATTGCTGTGTGCTTTGTTTGAGACCGTTCATGGCTTGTCTATTGCTGAGTGCCAACTATGCTACAATTTTGATGTAAGTTAACACTTGGAGTTAGCTCTGGGCTTTTGTGTGTTTGAAGATAACATAAATAAGAATGAGAGGTGCTCTTTAACTTTAGGATCAGCCACTCAGTGCTACTTAAGTATGACCTCGAATCCATCCCTCTAGAGATGGAGTGGATGCATGCTTCTTGGAAAGTTTGTGCTTAGTTGTTAACGGCGTCGGCTTGTGTGTTGAGACTGGTCACGTGCCGTGTAACATGTACTTCTAGAAAAGGAGTGGTGACTTGTGCTCTCAATTGCAGAACTACCAAATACAGACAAGAGAAGGTATCTACAGGTTGAGGGGCCAAGCCAAGTCAAGAAAAACAGGATCTTTTCACACAAGCTCTCAAAAAAGAAAAAGAAAGGACAGTGTCACAAATGAAACCATGAATGTAATGGGGCCTACGAAAATAGTCTCCATGCACATGATCTAGACATTTGTTAGCACAAGCTCTCAAAAAAGAAAAAGGACAGTGTCACAAACGAAATCATAAATGTAATGGGGCCTACGAAAATAGTCTCTATGCACATGATCTAGAGATTTGTTAGAATAATTGATACTGAATTGTACATTTAAATAAACTAGTGTGCATTTTATTATTTGTGTTAGGAATGGCTGGGCAAAATGCAAGTTGTATGTGAACTACTTTCGCTTTCAAATATGGTCATGTCCGTGGACAACTGCTAATGTGCGAACGAAGTGTTCTTAAGCGGAGTACTTTCTTTGCTTGCAACATTTTGTGGCCCGACTATGTGCATTATGCTCCTTGCAGCTAGCACCACCGCCGATGCCGCCGGGCTTCCTGCCCCGACCCCCAATGGATGGGGCAGGCCCCATGCTGTTGCCCCCTGGCATGCCTATGCCACCACACTACCCGCCGGCCTACCCGCTCTACCCGGCAATGCCACCTCAGGTTCCTCCTCCTCCAGCAGCTCCGGCAGGTGTGTTCCCGACTTCACAAGAATGACTTGTAGTTGTAGCAAAATAGGTGTAGTGCTCTTGGAGAGCTTACAGAGGTCTCTAAGCTCCCATGTTTAATGCACATACATGCCCCATAAAGTGTGGGGGGGGGGATCGCCACCATGGTAGATCGGTTGGTAGAGCATCATATGCGTTATTCCAAGGTCGCAGGTTCAGTCCCTGCCCAAGGCAAGTTATCTTTTCCTCCACTTCTCTTTCTTCACATCTACATTACAATTACTTCCAATAACGTCCCCTATACTTTCCTTAGCATGATTGTATGTTAGATCTCACTAATATTGTGTCTAACAAAGAAAATGTGCCCTTAAATGTACACTTCTTTCCTTGATACAGAGGTGAAGGAACACAAAAGGCACACATAGGGTCGGAATTCGCGACGGTTGGGAAGTGGGAAATATTTTTTGAAGTTGTTGGGTAATGATGCTCCATTGTACAGTAATAACACAGAATTGAATAGTGTCTAAGTAATAATAGAGAAGCACAATGTTGAACAAACTGAAAGAATTTCAGAATGAGGTGGCAGGTCTGGGGCTTCATGTCTTCTGGTTACCACTATGACCAGGAAGCATTGCCGACGGTAATTACTTCAAATGCACTTGATAGATTATCGGAATCTTTAATGGTAGACAGCCATTTGATTTAATATAATAGCAAGGTTTGATTTGCTGCTCTAAAATTGGAGTAAGTATCCAGACAGCAAAACAAAATTATGCACACGCACGAACTCTGGTATTGCCAAAATTCTAGTGATGTTTTAAAGTAATCTTCTTCTGTATTCTGGACCATGTCCTGTGAGACAGGGCCAATGTTTCCAATCGTCGGCCATATCTAGTGCTCTGCATGATATTACAAGAATTAGTGGCACTTTGCTTCATTTTCCTTGAATCTGAACCTAACAAGATTGCTACTTCTACTTCTTAATTTTCTTACCTTGTCCTTGTTGTAATTTATCTTTGTGATGCAGATCAGAACATTATGCACACACACACACACATAAAATTTGCAAGTCTGTACTAAAATAAAGTAAATAAGAACACTGAAATAAAGTAAATAAGAAAGATAAAGCTGTCATTTTGGATGAAAGCAATCGATAGCTGCCCTGTCATTTCTGTAGATCTTTGTGTTCGCTCTTGCTGCTGGCATCATCAGCTACGTCTGTCACTCTGGTTCTGCTGGATATCACGTGCATGGTGCCATGTGTCAGTGCATCAACACGTTGTTGGTCCCTTTTCGAGGTGAACTCTCTAAGCTAACTGCGGTCAGCTCTGCGATGCCGTCTTTAGTTGCAAGATTAAGTGAGCTCAGGCGGCGCGGTTGCTTCTTGACAGGTAATTGGGAAAGGGTTCTTGTGGGGAAGAGAGGTTGTAAAACAGTATAGCTCAACTTCACAGCAGGAGAGGTGCGACACAAGGAGCTACTACACAGGCACACTTGGTAAGCTTCCAAGCTGAAGCAAAAGAGTAGTATGCGGCTGATACTCAGTGCTGGTTGCCAAAACATGCCAGCTATAAGTAGCCTCTAGTGATCGGAGTTATCTTCATATTAAAAGAAAAGCGGCGCACAAAAAGACGGAGACAAAGAAGAGAACCACACACAGCGCTGCACTCACAACTGAAAGTTTAATCCGAGCAACAAGAATTTAAAAAGTAAAAGCCGCGCATGACAAGTGAGGTACAACGAGATTAAATTATACACTCATCAATAAAAGTGAACTCTTTTTTGTGCGATGTAACTGAGGTCTGGCTTACGCAAGCATCACGTGACTTGTTAATATGATAGGCTTCAGACACCTCACGGGTGAATTGATCGTGGTGCTTAAAAATAATAACAGTGTTAGACAGATCAGGTGTGCACCCACACGTGGCACAATCAGAAGCCAAATGGGAAGGCGCGCCGTTATGCAAAGAGAGATAGTGCTCCCGCAACCTTTTATTAACACAGCGGCCCGTCTGTCCCACATAATGAAGGCCACAAGATGAAGGAATGCGGTACACCACCCCCACAGCACAAGGCACATACTTATTTCTATGGTTTACGGCACATTTATTTACATCTGGCTTGTCCTTCTTGTCTAGCTGATTTGACACCAATGCACATATCTTTCCCAATTTATTGGGTGCCCTAAAAACCACATCAACTCCGTAGCGGGAACCAACATTTTTTAACCCATGCGCCAGTTTATGCATATAAGGAATTGCTGCGAACTTCATTTTTTCCCGATTGATTTTCCTAGCTGCACGTCCTTTTAAACCACCAATTAACTTATCGCAAACAGCCACAATTATGTTAGGGGGGAATCCTGCTTCCTCTAGTCTTGCAACTTGCTTAGCAAAACCCGAACCCAACACGTGCCTGCATGATTTTTCTAGAGCGGATTTAAGGCAGGTGAAAGCGATGCCCCTCTTTACCACCTTTGAGTGGGCTGATCCAAAATTAAGAATTGTTTTCACTGATCGTGGCTCAAAACACCAGCAAATATGGGAACTCTGAAACCGAAGTTTAAGATCGAGAAATTGTAGACAGTCGAATTCTGGAACCTCCGATGTGAAGGAAAAATCCATGCCTTCTGTCCTGAACACCTTCAACACATAGGAAACAATACCCGGGAACGTGGCATCCTTTATAACAACTAAAAAATCGTCCACATATCGGAAAATACGCATCACAGTTCCGCTTAGGATTGTGTCTACAATGCGATCTATTTTGGCTAAAAAACTTTCACAAAGGAAAGGTGGAACGCATGAACCTATACAGACTCCTAACGCTGGATTAGGGTCTTCCCTCGCCAACCAATGTACGTAGACTTTAGGTAAAAAGCTAGTAATTCAGTGAACGATTCTACAGATATACCACTACTACTTCTGAAACGAAGCTCATCATTGTCTTCCTTGATACATTCCTGAACGCACACTAGGAGCTTATGATTAGGAATCGAAAAAAACATGTCAACATCATCTATACTGAACGCCAGACAGGAGCTCGTGTCGCGCTCCCTAAGAAACTGAACCACCGCACCCGAATTTTTCACTCTAAAGGGATCATGAACACACAGCTGCTTCAAATGGCTTTCTAAATACCTGGATACATTTTTCTGTCACGTATCTGTTTCCGTAATTATGGTACGAAAAGGAAAAGGAGTTATCTTGTTGGCCAGAAAAATCTGTCAGGTAGCCAAGAGGTCACACTCTGGGGCAGTGTTGCAAACCAATTTTTGGCAAATGCTCCACGTCACGGTCAATATTCCACTACTCCTAAAGAATATTTTTACCACCCTACATTCTACCTTACGGCTAAAAATAGTGCAGTGTAACAATAAAAAGCTACAGACTCCACGTTAATGTACTACATGCACACGTACAGTAGTGCTGAAGTTGGTAGTTGCTTCGATAATAGCCTTGAAAAAGTTTTGAAGCGTAAACTAGGATCATGAGAAAGACAAAAAAATGGGAACACAAAGCGTTCTGGCATATGTATGGGAAGAGAGTAGAGAAAAAGAACTAGGAGGACTCATTAGAAAGCATATGGCTGACAGTGTAAGTGATATGGTGACAAAAAGTGTTAAGCAAAACGTCTGAGAGGTGGAAAACATGGATTGGATAGCAGTTATGGAAGAAGGTGGGTGTTGGGTAACCACCAAAAGGATGAAGATGAATTAAGCAAGGGTACGCTTAACGATAACTCAAGGGGATAGGCTTCGATGTTTGAAGTGCGGCAAGGTTTCCTTAGTATTCATATTTAGTACTAAGCGAGGTTCAGTGAAGAAGAGAAATGCATATACATTGGGAAGGTAATGAAATGAAGGAGCATGTTTAATAGGATGTAAAGACGTTCACTCGGGAGTGTGTTTGGGCACTAACCTTCATGAGCCCTTTGGTTTAAGGGGCAACATTCTAAAGGTAAACAGGTCTGTGATAGCATTAAGCAAGAGATGTCTATAAAAATGGTAATAGAAAAGGGGGCAGATAAAAAAAAAAGAGAGAGAGAAATAATGTTAATATGCACTAAGGCTAAAAAAGTTGGACTGCTAGTTTGAGACTTCTTTTTTTATAGGATGCGAGCTTTGATTTATCTGGACATGATAATGACATATAATAATAATAATAATAATAATAATAATAATAATAATAATAATAATAATAATAATAATAATAATAATAATAATAAATTTTGAGTTCTTGGTGAAGCGCAGGTTGCTACCCCGTCATAAAGGGGGCTTCTTTTCATCCACGCATCCACTGTCATCGAAGTAACTTGCTTGGTTTTTTTTGCTCACTTAACTAAGATCACTCTAAGGCGAAAAACCACCTTCTTTTCTGTCTTCCCCATCGATTGTGCTAGTTACCCTGCCCTTGAAAGATCAACGTATTATCTTTCGCATCTGCCCTATGCTGGTGACACGTGAATTAAAGACAGTTCCAGTTTTATTCAAAGAAAGATTAAGTTTTTGGATGTTTTGAGGAATGTCACCCTTCAGAGAGGTCGTATCAATCTTCCACAGCTTTCGCTGACCGGAGGTGTTGACATGCATAAGCATGTGAACACCTCAGGCATATTCGACCTTTTGCAAGAGGCTTTTATTGGCTGGTACCGTGCTGGCTTGTTGTGCTATCATATGTTTTAAAATTCTTCTGAAGGGCGTCACAAAGGTGATTTGTAACATGAGATGCTTGCTTTCGCAGTCCCACCAGCAGTCCTGCCTGCTGCGACGTCATCCCCATCACAAGCAACCTCCTCTCCAAAACCTGATGCACCTGCAGCAGCTTCCACACCGCCAGCAACACCATCTGCGCCTGCTGATAATGCTGCACCAACACCTAGCAACCAACAAGCACCAGTGAGTATAGCTGAGCTGTGGTTCATTGATTGATTGAATTGCAATAAAAAAACCACAGGTATTGTAGTTCACCGCTATGGCATACCTTTAGTCGTACCTTGGTTTTGGAGTGTAAAATTCTGAAACATAACTTTTAATTTAGTATATTATTATTAAGTTCATTCATTCTCTTCCATATTTGTACTGACCTCAAAAATTCCATGAAAAAAAAATACAAATAAACATATTTATTCTTTGCTTGTCATATAGCATACCATTCCAATTAAATTGAATATGAGCAAGTCGTATCATAATTTTCTATTGCTCATATATATATTTTGCATCCTAAGTGTTGGTCTGGGTCTAGTTTTGTTAGAAGGTATTTGTATCAAGAGCTAGCTCAGAATTCTGCTGCTGTACAGCAAAAGAAAAATTAGGGCCAGCAATTTGCAAGTCATATTAAAACAGTGCAGAGGACAAGACAAAGAGAATAGGTGCATGTAAGGAGCGCCAACTTGCAACCGAATTCTCTATTCAGACAGAAAAAGAACATACAGGATTGCGCACGTGACTTACTTGGGATTGGAAGATTAAAAGGCTTGTTGGCGTCATCACATGTTGTCCAGAAATGTACAACCCAACAGTCTAGCAGCACTATCGATGGTGTGTTTATATATGTGCCACTCGATTGCCTGTGGACTGCCTTGATACATAGTGCGTCACTTTGTTCATGGTGCCAACACTTTGATAATGTTGTAGCCTGAATGTAAAACACAACTTTGAAAGACCGTTTTAGAGGCCCTTTAAGTTTCTCATGCAGAAGTGCTTTAATTCTTGAACGGGTGTGTTTGTATATGGCTGGAGTTGTGTACGCATCCATGATGTCTTTGGTCTGGCTTGTGTTGTGTGAAGGCTTTAATGGCTTTGTGACTTATTGTGCGTGCAGAAGAGCAGCAGTTGGACAGAGCACAAGGCTCCCGACGGCCGCACTTACTTCTACAACCACGCCACTAAACAGTCCAGTTGGGAGAAGCCCGATGAACTGAAGACGCACACCGAGGTGAGCACTTCTGATTGAGGAGTTTGTTTTAGATCACTCAGCTTGTACCAGTATTGCATTCCAGAATGATTTTTGAATGTGTTAATCAACCTATTTCCTTTTAAGCATCAGTAGCCTAATCTCCACTGCTTTCAAGCAAGGATCATGCCTGCTGTGGTAGCTTGGCAGCTAAGGTGCTGCACTGCTGAGCTTGAGGTTGTAGGTTAAATTCCGTGCCATGGAAATAGCCTGCACGCTGAAGCCAAGTTTAAGAAATCTGTGCCTGAACACTTGTGAATTTGCGAGCAGTTGCTGATACATTGTTATAAACAAGCTGTAGAATAACGATAAATATAAACAATTCCAACTTTTAAATAATTTCTTGCATCCACACAAAGTGGCTGCGCTTGCTCGGCACAACAGTGAGTTGAAACTGGCTCGTTTTTTCAAATATGTAAGATGGTATAGTAAGTATGTGGCATTGGACATTTGAGATGGTTTGCAGCAACATAGGTTTACAGCTCTAACCCTCAAAGAATATACAATAAATTGCACTATAAATAGCTTCCTAGCTCCTTTTCTACCATTAAAGGCACCTTGCATTAATATCTTTCTGCTGTTGAATTCAGCAACATTGAGAAGATGCCCTTTTGTTTTGAATATTGTCTAGAACACTTTGAAGTTGTATACTGAGAGATTGTGGGAAGCCAATTTTGATGCTGTTTTAGAACAACTGTTGGAACTGTATGGAGACAGGGAATGACAATGATGCGGTAATGGAGTTTTGAGCTCTGTATTTTGGCATAGCATGAGTGAATGTGTATTTTTGGTTGGCCCAGTTGCTGCTGTCTCAGTGCCCCTGGAAAGAGTACAAGTCGGACACTGGGCGGACATACTTCCACAATGTCATTACGAAGGAGTCACGGTGGACCATTCCTAAGGAGCTCGAAGAGCTTAAAGGTGACCGAGTGAAGTTTCTCCCAAACCTGTGTTGCTCCGTGAAGTAGAATTCTTTGTTAAGCTCTCCCAACGCCGCTTTTCATAGTGTTAGTCGTTTTAGCTGGCAGCATTTTGGGTCAGATATCTCTTAGTGGGTCATGAAGGATGCTGACTTGCACCTGCCATGTATGATTCTTGGAGCATGGGATATGAGAAAGAACAGAAAATTTGCTTCAGTTATTAGAGCAACCTTTAAGTCAAAATGTGCAATATATTTTTGCAAAACCACGACACTGTTTGCTAGAATTTTGTGCCGAATGGAAAGCTCATGATTAGGCTTGTGTGAATAGTGAATTTTTGGTTCGAAGCGAAGAGTGATTTTTGGTCGAATAATTTCTAATCTAATTCGAATGGAATATATGGCGTATAAAGAAAAATGGACATATTTATGGTGACCAAACTAACCTGCACAATATTTTTTTCATTGAAATGAGGCCTCTATGCAAGTGCTTTTTTCTTTACTATTCAAAGGAAGTTGAAACAACTTTAAGTACAGTCGAATCTTATTAATTCGAACATGCTTAATTTGATGTTCCGGTTAACTCGAATTCACGATGAGGTCCCGTCAAAGCTATGTGTATTTCAATAGGCGAAAACGCCCGGTAATTCAAACATGCAAGCTGTTTCGACGGTTAATTCGAACATACCGCGCTTCAAAAATGCTCTCAGCACCCCGCCATATCCTGCGGCGGCACCTCCGACACCTCAACGCTGAGCGCGAAGGAAAGGAAAAGGAAAGAGAAGGCTGTAGTGGAATGTTTGCTCTCTCTCAAATGCCGATTTGCGACGCGCCTGTGCACGCTTCTCCCTTTTCTGCCCCTGCCACGTAAAGACTCTTCTCCTTCCAACGCCATGCACAAAGAGAGAGAGAAATAAAAAAAAAAAAAAGCTGTCGTGGAGTGGGGTTCTCTATTATGCACCGGTGCTACACTTCCCATTTCCCGTCCCTGCCGCGTAACCCTTCTCCTTTCAAGGACGCGCGCGAAGAGAGCAAAAAAAAAAAAAGCTGCCTTAGAGTGTTGGTTTATCTCAAATGCCGATCTGCTTCTCTCCGTGTGGAAACGCTCCTCTGTTCTTGTCATGTGCTGGCCATGCTGCGGCTCTAGCACAGAGGGTAGTAGCGGCGATGCAGTCATTGTCATCTTCGAGTGTCAGCGCTGGACATTGCCGTGCGCAACTTCTCTTGCCAGGAGAATGAAATTGATTGACTCGTTGCAAGGTAAACATGTGCAGACATGCATCACCGATTACTTTAAATAATTGCGGATGTCCTGTGATTGGTGAATAAATGTAAGTCTTCGGAAACTTCCCCCTTGTGTGTTAGCTCTATGCACATGCGTCACTGCATGGGGAGCCCTCCGTTTGCTTAGCATTCAATAATTTGAACTTATTTTAATTCGAATAAATTTTCGGGCCCCTTCGAGTTCGAATTATCGAGATTCGACTGTAGTAGGATTTGACTTTCAGGAGGATGCAAATGATACCTTGTACGATACGTAACATTATTCATAACAGTTAGAGTGCATAAGTCGGCAAAATAAGCTTTTAAGCTTCGGAAAATGATCTATTGACCTGAGGATAATTAACCGCCGCAAAAATTTCTAGAATCTGTTCACTATGAGCGAAGTTTTGTGATTTGCCACATGCTGCAATTGCATTCTCTCTTCATGTCCTGACAAAAGCGCCTGAAGCAAAGCCGTGAGAGATGGCATGGAGAAAGAAATCACGTCACATGCGCGTTGTAACCTTGAACACTTTTTCTTTCTTTTTTTTTTTTTTGAATATGCGGCTTTTCAGTGTGATCACACATGTACGCGTGTACATGTGTGATGTGGCCACCCCGCGACGAACCCAGTAACGACTTAGCGCCACATGTTCAAATCAGCCAATGGCTGGTACAATGGCTATGATGAGTGATTCTTTGACATTGTGGCGTCATTTGCCCAGAGAAGAGAGCAATTTTTGTCTGGCCTTTAGAATTTATTGTGAATTCCAGGTCACGTGCTGTTTAGCTCTCGTGTTCTCGGTAGCGTCGACTACCGATCAGCAGCGTTTGATCATGCTCAAAGAGTGTTGCCGGGCCCCTTTATAATTTCCAGTGGGGCTTTGTGGCAGAGCAAATTTCCCATAAATAGGTGTTTTTACGGTTTAACACCGCTATACTGCAGTGAAACCACTTTTACAAACAGTTACATGGATTAATGTACATCTATAAGTTTATATCGAATACTTCAAAATATTCGATAATGTAAATTCGAATCGAAGCAAATTCGAATACTCTATTATTCTTTCGAATATTCGAAGCATTCGAATATTCGCACAAGCCTACTCATGATGTTATTTAGCCTTTCTTTGGTGGATTCACTTTGCTGGTATCTTTTGTTAACTGGCTGCACCCAAAAGCTGTCATTGGTGTGTGAGTATTGGAATGTTGAAAGACAGCAGTGAGGAATGGGTTTGCCTATAGTGTATGCACATTTGAACTTCTTGCATATAATGAACATCCTTCAAAATGAACTCTAATAACGTAACGAAATTGTAAAACCTCGGTTTAGTACCCTGGTGATTTAACACTTTTGAAGGCGGACTTCTAATGAAATGAGCATTACTTTGTCCTGCTTTCATTTCTGTTTTAAGCGGGAATTATTGTTAGATATTATGAGCTTCTTCTGGAGGAAGAGAAAGAGGATGGGTTGTTTCCATTATACAATGTGTACTGTGAGTAGTGCTTAGCAGAAGTGTCCAGCTGTATCTGTGCGCCATTCTGGTCATGCCGTCAAGAATAATTAATTTTCACTCTCACACTGTTGCTGTGTGACTGATGCCCGTTTCATCGAAGTTCTTATTTCTTCTTTTGTTTTATTTTTGTCACTATAAACAACCTTGCTTTATTGTCATCAGGCAGTTCCAGAAAAGCAGTACACAGAGTGTGTAACAATTGATGGGTCTCATTTTTATTTGCACCGCTTCTTTATTCATAGTCCCCAATTTTTCCTCAGTCTCTTCTGAGAATAACGTCTTCATCTGAGAAACAGTTCTTGTTGCCACTTTCTAATCATAGTTGTGTTTATGGCGTTACTTTATTAAAATTTTAGATATAGAAATAAAAATGGCCTTTATATGTCGGGGAATATTATAACGACACCAATTCGTTTGAAATGCTGCTGTTTGGAGGGTCGCACTTCCCAGTTGAAGGGTTCCAGGGAGATAAAATTGGCACTGCTTAAACCTTTTGTGTTGCCTTAATGCTCTTGGTGTTTTAAATCTGCTTTATTTTTTTTTCTGCAGCCACAATTGCAGCCCAGGGAGAAACGAGCAAGTAAGCGTGTTTATTTGCTTTGTACAAAGTTAGCTTTGCTTTCTACAAAAGCTGCAAACTGTCTTTCTTTTTTTTAATTGCACCGTAGATCATTGTTTTTTCCTCCATACTAAAGGCAGATCAATTTCTCATGAGGCTAAGTCTCTAAGCATACTGCTGTATGAGCAGTGTGCCGTAGTGCGATGGTGTGTTGCACCAGAAGTACTTCAGCAATTCCAGGTCATACCCAGTTAAAAGAGAAACTTGTCAGCATATAAAGTATTGTTTAGTCTTTAAAACTTGTTTGAGCACTGTAGGTGAGCTCACAAAGTAAGGCTTGCCCAAAAGTGCTTCATACAGTAAAACCTCTGTACAAATCTCACGGGATCGGCAAAAACATTCATATCTGAAACTCGTATCTCCTGAAAGTATGTAAAGTTAGCATGCGACGAGAGAAAGCTGGGTAAATATTTATTGATTGTTTTTTTGGGCCACAGCGAAGTCACAAACAGCTTTCAGCGATTGCCAGGGAAGTTTTTAGATGTAAACGATCATACCGGCACTCGTAAATATATGGTCCATGAGCACGTGTGTAATTCATGAACCAAGTGTGTTGCAACTTGCAACGGCTAGTAGCCCCCCTCCGAATCCTCCAAATCTTAGTATGCTTTTCCATCTGACACTGGATTATTGTGGTGAAAGTGGATTTGACTGTTTTGACATGATAGATAAAAGAAAAAAATTTCAGAACCCCAGTCCTATGTTATTATATTGTCGCGGTGGTGTCGGTGACACTTTTCCGGAGATTTGCAGCCGTGCCTGCACAAATGTGTTGCCAACAGTAGTGCTTGTCGACGTTGTGAGGCCTAGCTCCTTCTCTAAGGCCGTCCTCGTCTTTTCGTCTTCATTCACCTTAAATTGAGTGTCTGATGCATGAGGTCATGACTTGCATCAAAGTAGCAGGCACATATAAACACATTGCAAGTGACAGCAGGAGACATGTTAAAAAAAAAAAACAGTGACGCCAACACCATCTGTAATATGAGCGCCAAGGCACACTTAGGCTCATTGGGACCTCCAAGAATTGTGCGCACAATCTCATAGGCTACGGCACGTCACTGAAGGTTTATTCTGAGCACTGTGTAAGGAAAGTATATCTGAAACAGTGATTCTGATGAATTGGCGGCACAATATGCATGCCCACGCTTGTGTTCCTGCGCCTGCAACTGCTTGGTGCGTCTTTCGCGACAGGGCGGACGGCACTTCTTTCTACCTGTGCGGTAGCGTGCATTCGTATCAAATGTCATGGGGTGAAAATCGGTTCGCAACGACTGTACTTCATTACATTGCAGGCCAATGAGCCTTAATCGGGACCAAAGAAAAATTCGTATCACCTCAAAAATTGTGTGAGTCGTGATAGTCCCATTGAGGTTTTACTGTTCTAGTTTATCGTTGCCAGACCATAAATTTCTCGACATAAAGCCGCCACCAATGAGTGCGGACAGTGCTACCGCCTGCTGTGCAGTCGGGGAATGCTTTACTCTCACTGCTGCATAAAAGCTCTCCTGCATGCATGAAGATCTTGATCAACGAGGAGGGCCTCATAGGTTGAGAACTTATTGCAAGTCTATTTCTATCACAACCAAAGAAAATAAAAGCGTCACTTGACAGACTAGGCCAGGAACAATGCAGCTGCTACCCTGGTGCAATCTTGAACTCCTTTCAAGAAATGAAAAGCTCGAAACTCAGTACAGATGACCTAGCTATCATTACAAGTGCTTAACGTTGGTCTATGTGGCTCGTTACGATCAGTTGCATATAATTGCATCTTGTGTTGTTAAAGGAATCTAATGAACATTTTCTTTGCAGTTGTGCTTGCGTAGCACTTTTGTTCTCACTATGCTCAAAACAGTGCTTTACGCATTGACCTGACCTTTGTTTTTGCTCGTGTTTGCTGTTGGTGCAGCATGGTGGTGAAGCTACATTCTAGCATTTTCCAATTGGTGTTTCACTTGCTCATCTAGTACACTTCTCGAGGACTGGCAGTAGCAGGTGCGCACGACACAGTCTCTCTGGTGAATCAACTTCAACCGCATGTTATTTCAGGGAGGAAGACTCTGTGGCCGACATCCAGCTGCCAAGCAGCGCACCAGAAGAGCCTGCGGCCGGCGCGCCTGGACAGCCGCAGCAGCCTCAGCAGGCATCGGCGCAAGCACAACCACCGCAGCAGCCACAGCAGCCACAGCAGCAGCAACCACAACAGCCGCAACAACTGCAACCTCCACAGCAGCAGCAGGGTGGTGAAGAAGAAGACAAGTAAGTTCAGGCTAAAGTTTGCGGCACTCACAGTGCTGACTATAGGGGTGTAACGAAACGGTAACCTCGGGGAAGGGGGGAGGGAGGAGTACAAAATGGCGATGACCTCAGACGAATACTGAAGAAAATGCATATGTTTACTGCTAGCAAGGTCCTTTTTGAAAGGAGTTATCACGTAGAGCTTCTCTTAAAATCGAATCTTGTGAAATTGAAGTCCCATAATTTGAAATGACCTGCAGTTCAAACTGGCTCATTGATCCTGGCTAAGTGACATGTTTTTTAATGCGGAATATTCTCCTTAATTTGGACCTGTAGCATGATAAATCTATCAGCGCAAAAAGATGAAACATTTAAGAGGGAACACACACAGTGCCGAATTCACAACTGTCTGCCGGTTTTGTTTGCCTGGTTGGTTTTAGGATCAACTATTCTTTTCACTTCTTTCGTATATCGGGGGCGTACTTCGTGGTTTTAGAATTTTCTACTACATCTACCTTCGGTTGACTCTCTTTTTTTTTTTGGCAAGCAGTTGTCGCGTGGCTTTCTGCATGGCTTTTTTTCATCGTGTTATCTTTCTGTGGTTTTGATGTGTGCCTTGGAATAGGCCTTGTGCTCAAACTACGCTTTATGCGCCCATTTCGAGAGAAAATGGCCACTCATTTCTCTCGCTCTAGCCGATAGTCTGTTGTGTGGTCCACAAAAAGTGGACATCACCCCATTAATTTAGTTCACGCACCAAACTAAGGCCAGAGATTAGTCCGTTGGATCCGAAAGTCTGTTGTGCGCAGGCTCTGTTCTAATCAGCGTGGACTGTAGTTGCGTTCCTCTTTCTATAATAAACTTTTTCAGATTGGTTGAGGCATTTTTGTGGACTCTTATACATGTCGAAAATGTCTGTGAGAAAAGAGAAGAAAATTAATTAATGATGATTAATTAACTAATTGCAACACAGGTGTGCGTCACTGAATGCCATGAAGGACAATCAGAGAGTGGGAGCTCCTCTGGCATGTCGTAGTGCTACTATATTGTGAGAGAAAACTGAGGTGAATCCCCTGCAGGTCGAGTGATGAGGAGGAGAACAAGGATCGACCTATCGAGTTCAAGGACAAGAAAGAGGCCATCGAAGCCTTCAAGGAGCTGCTCAGGGAGAAGGTGGGTGCGAGCCTGCTTCTGGAAATTTTCGTCATAAACAAATGAGTGCGCTCTGTCAGCCAAGTACTTCTTTGTTAACGACAGCGTCTTCTATTTCTCTTTCTGGTGTCTGCCGCCCATCTGCAAGTGTTTCGCACCCTGTCTTTTCACAATTTATTTACCGTAGTTTTTTTTTTTGTGGGGGGGGGGGGGAGAGGGATATCTTTGTTTTTTGTATTTGTCTGGGAAATCTTTCAGAATTTTCATTTTCCTTGCTAACATTTGATGATGGTGGATTTTAATGGTGCAAGGCAGCTTAGGCCAAAGAGGGCCAAACACGAGGCTGTATGTCCAGTCCGTTAGAAAAATCTACTCATGGTGACAAGAGTAAGAGCGTGGTGCATGGGACCTAAAGTTGGTGTAATGAGATTAAAACGGGCAAAACCTGTGCGCTTTACAAGGTCACTCAGCGTTGGCTTACATTTGAGCATAAAGTAGGCTTGTGTGAATATGCGAATGCTGGGCACTAAGGGAGCTTTAGCCTGGGGAAAGAAACTGATGGTCACAGTAAGGTCAAAAACAGTGCCTGGTGACATTGCCCAGCTGTAAACAGGTTCTTTTATGAAGGCGTACAGGAAAGGCATGCAGCATGTCATTGTGACATGTAATGTTTCTGGGTGTGGAAGCCACACAGTGATGTTAATTGCTTTGCACTTGGTGGTTTGTTACAACTGTGCAGAGGGTAAATTTGGCATACTTATTAACTAAAAAAAAAACTAAATTTGCTACAAGTTTTTTGCAATTGAAAAGAGGACGTCATAAATTTCTAAAAAAACTTATAAATAGGGGGGTGCAAATATTTGAAATTTGAAATATTTTTCTTATAGTGTTTGTTGTTTCATTTGATTCACACTGGAATATTTACTGTTCGAACATGAGCTTCACGAAGACGAATGTAGTCAACGCCCAGTTGTAAGTCCACCCCTTCAGATTTTCAGTATGCTTCACCTCATCACATTTTCGTTTTGAAAAATGCAGCATGCAATTCTAAGCGTGCCTGGTAATTATGAGATAAGAAGAAATAAAACCGAACTAAAAAAACAACTTGCTCTTTGTGGGAATGATGCTGATCTATAAGCTATGCTTGAAAGGGGGAGTGGCAGCTGCAGTGAATGCAAGAGCTGGGTGGGCCGGTATTTCATCACATCGCTCATTTTCAATCTGGCAACTGAAAATAATACTGGTTATAGAAATAATTATCACTGTAAGTTACTTAGGGGTTATATGTAGGTTTAGCTATTTTATGGTGGAGTTGTTAGAACTTCAATGAATTTTTATCTCATTGGGGATAGTTGACGCTGAGCTCAAACTAGCTTCTATAACGGCAAGGTAAAGGGTCAGCAGGGGAGGAGGAGAAGGTCATCGTGAGTGATGTTGAGGCTTCAACCATAGGCTGTACACAAGGAGCGTTCGTGCACAAAAGCACACATCTGTGGTGGTATTGCAACGCTCTGCTAGCATTCCAACATCGTCATTGTGTGGCCATATTTAGACATGTTTCTGAGCTCGCATTCTTTGCCTGCTCACTTTTGTGGTCCTCTTCTCTCGCTGTTGAGTAAAAGAAAAGGGAATGTCGTTTGCTCAGTGTTTCTTCAATTAAAAAAAAGTTTAGCTTGGCTGGCAAATATGAAAGACCACCAAAGTTGGGGGACGCCCAGCAATAAATTACATTCAGCAAGTTCTGCTGCTGTTTGTCATTTGCGATAGCAGAACATGATTAATTTCTTGTTCTGAAGATTACTTTGCTCGATCTTATTACCTAACAGGCGTCTTACCTATGCACAGGTTCTATAAATGGTAGCAGTCTTTTCGAGTTTTGTTTGTATGGCTGCCTTTCTTAAATATCCAAAAAGGGGCACATATGTATACCGCATTCACCTTTGTAAGAGCCACACTTGCCTCTTTTTTTTTTTCAAGATTAGATGCAAGTCCTTGCATGAGTTGTGCTTATGAATGCTTGTTGGCACTATATAATAGTATGCTAGGATTTTTGCACCGAATGTTTTAAATATGCAATGATGGATAACACACTGTGGAGACTTTTATTGAAAAGGACTTTCGCCGTCGCTGAAACCAGCCTGCCCTTGTGCACTCACTGCAGCTATCGTGTTGGGTACTTCGTTTAAGATATTTGATGCCATGTTCAGATTTTGTGATGCTGTATGGTCCGCGTTGTCATATTTTGTGCAGGAGGTGCCGAGCAATGCCAGCTGGGAACAAGCGCTCAAGCTCATCGCCAATGACCCCCGTTACGGGACACTGCGCAAGCTTAATGAGAAGAAGCAGGCCTTCAACTCGTACAAGGTGCAGAAGGGCAAAGAAGAAAAGGTATGGCCCGCTTCCGGTCTTGCTTAGTTTCTGTGGGCTCTGCCATGCATGGTGTAATCTGTGTTTGTCAGATTGCATTAAGGCTGTGGGGTAAGTGACTTAGAGAAGGTTGATGCATAAGCTTGTGTGAATAGTGATTTCAGTCGAATAATTTCGAACCGAATTCGAATAGTATATATCTCATACTAAAAAGAAAAATAGGCATATTTGTCATGGCCAAACTAACCTACACATTATTAAAAAAATATATATAGAAGCAAGGCCAGTGCAAATGTAGTTCTTTTGGCTCAAAGGAAGTGCAAGGAACTTTGAATACAGCTGAACACAGATATATCGAACCGACATATATAGAATGTTCGGGTATATCGAACTCTAAGTTGAAATTTCTTCGTAAAAGTATAGAAATTCGCACGTTTATATCGAACGGTATTTTTACCCGTCTTCGGATATATCAAAAGCTGCGCGAGCTGGAAGGTGCGCTTTGGCACTCGCCGCGCACCGTGATTTCTGCAGCAGCGCGGCTCCGCGCGCGAGTTGGAAGGAGCGTTTTGGTACTCGCAGTGCGCTGCGACCTTCGCGCGGCACCACGCCTTCGCCAAAACTCGAAACGCTCGAACAAAGGTAAAGGTGAAATGGCTTTTTTTTTCTTTTCTTTCTCTCTTATGCTTTCTCCGCGTACTGTCGGCTCAAAAAGCAGGAACGAAGGAGTGGACGTCCTCCCCCCTTTCACCCCCTTTTTTTTTACTGTTTTGCGAGTTTTGATCAGCCAACCACAGCTCACATCTTTGCTTTTGCCCTCGCAAGAGGCCATCGCCTCGCGAGCGCTTTGTTGTTTCTTTTGTCGCTTTGCCCACGTACCACCGCATGTGCAGCATTGCTCTCTTGCTTGTGTGGAGTGCAAAGCCGCTGCGGATTTCTTGAATGGTCAACTTATCGTGTAGCTATGGCCAGCGTCAAGAAGCGCAAGACCCTTGACTTTGCGACGAAGTTGAAGGTTATTTAGCACATTGAGGCGGGCGAGAAATGTTCGACTATTGCGGACGACTTCGGGATATCACAGAGCACTCTGAGTACCTTATTGAAGAACAAAGCAGATATCAAGGCAAAGGAGGCGGAGCAGCGAATGTCTGGAGCCTGTCATGTGCGCGGGAATGTAGAAAAAGCACTCTATGCCTGGTTTTCAGAAGTGCGCGCGAAGAACATTCTAGTGGATGGCCCAATGCTGGTGTCCATGGCCAAATGGTTTGCCCCTGCCCTCGGTGAAGACAACTTCGCCAACAACACTGGGTGGCTTCACCGATTTAAGCAGCGCTACAACATCGTTGGCAAAACAATTTCTGGCGAAAGCGAAGCTGTCAGCAGCCAGAACATCAAGCAGTGGGTGACAAAGTGGCCGGAAATCTCTTTGAAGTTTTCTCCCGAGGGAGATCTTCAACGCCTGTTGAGACGGGAAGATGGACACAGTGATCAACTGCTTCCACTAGGCAGGCTCCGAGATGGCAGAACTCGTGGAAAGCGGTGAAGACGGCGACAACGAGCGGATAGATGAAGCGTTTTGCGAATTGTCATTCCTCTTTCTGGAAGCAGTTTCACACGAAGTGCCTGCAGACGATTTCGTGGAAGCGGACTGCAATGTCCGGGCCATTGTGAGCCTTGCTGATAGGACATAGTAGCTGCGGTCGCAGGGACCCAGTATGCCCAGGCCGAAAGCTCATGTGACGAGGAGTATCGCTGGCTACACGCGCGTATTTCACCGCTGAAGTGGCGGCAGCATTCGGCATAGTTTGCCGTTGTATCGGCCACATGGAGGGAACCGGGCTGTCGCATTGGGACAGCCTTGATAAGATCGAGACTAGCGTCTTCAACTTCACTTCAAAAAGGAAGAACCAGGCCAAGCGATTTTTTTTAACGCAAATAAATCATTCTGTTGCGGCGTGTGTGCGGAATTAGTTGTCCTTCTTGAATGCGCTTCTTGTAGGTGATGGTCCGCTAAAGGTAAGCTCTCGGTGGCTGTATTTTTTATATTGAACTTTTCATATATCGAACTCATTCGCGATCCCCTTCGAGTTCGAGGTATCTGTGTTCGACTGTAGTAGCAAGATTTGAGTTTTACTGGAATGCAAGTGATAACCAGTAAAATATGTCATGGTTTAAAATTGACTGTACTTAGTGCATATAAGGTTGGATAAAAATCTTTTAAATGTAAAACGACTATGAATCAATATGTAATAGGTTCACTAACCTTGAAGTAGGGCTTCGCGGCAGTGTGGATTTCTTTTGGATATGTTTTCACTAGGTAGCATGTCCTTGCTGCAGTAAAACCACTTTTACAGGTTAATAAGTGCAGTTTAAGATGCATTTAAGTAGGTACTTTCATGGCTTAGCATTTTTTTATTGCAGTAAAATCGCCTTTACAGGGGTTACATGTGGACTAATATACATTTATTCGTTCACATCTAATACTTCAAAACTTTCGATAATTCGCGTTCGAATGAATGCACATTCGAATACTGTAATATTCTTTCGAATATTCGAACTAGCCTTGTGCTGCATCCTTCAAACTTTGTCAGGTGTATTGAGAGGTACTCTGAGGGTCACTGCAATTTTCTTTCAGCATCTGCTGCTTCTGCTTCTATAGTGCAGCCTGGAAATGTTCGGAGGTATTGCATTAAGACATCAGTAACTTTGGACAATGATAAGTACTGGTGAGGCTGGTGATGAGTACTGGTGAAATGGTGAGGCTTCAGTAAACCATTAGGCTTAGCAGGGAAATGTCTGAATAAAGAGTAAAGAATTAGTCTACAAATGGACATGACTTCGTGAACATTGCAAATACATGTGGGGCTATAGTTCCTTCGATCTTTGGAGTCAGAACAGCTCTAAGGGCACAGAAGCAAGGATGATGACCCTACACGCCTGCATGTGCTAACCGTGGAGTCAAAGCTTCTGGTTAATTGCTTCTATACTCCCAGTACAGGAACTGTGCTTATGTAACTGCTTATACAGCAAGAATATGTGTGAGTAGTGGCAGCATGAAGGAGACATATACGTACCGGTGCTTTTCCCTACATTCTGCCCGTCTTCTGCATTTGGCTGGTGTGCCTCATAGGTCATGAATAAGTGATGTACTGGCCAGCTTGCACGGTCATTTTCTTTCTAATCAGAGTCTCTGTAAATGCTAATTTCTACCTGCTAACTCCATCGATTTGCCAGGGAAACTCCCGTATTTACGACCTGTCTACCCACTAATGTGATCGCAGCCGTAAATCTCCCAATAGACTACCTCAAACCTATTTCAAAAAAAAAAAAAAAAAAGAGAAAAACTTTGAAGCCCTTTTTTTCTCTCCTCATTTTCTCCCAATTCCCCTGATGTCGGAAGTCCCTATTTTGGCAGGTATGCTATCTGGTTCGGGATCATTGTTGTGGAGTTTTAAGAGAGATAACTTTTTTTTGTACTTTAGATTGCCACAGATTACAGTTTTCATCTTAATGCAGCTTTTCCTCAGCCTGAAATACCTATCGTTGACGTCACTGGTACACCATAATTACTGTAGCTTCATGGTTAATTTGCTTTCCATTGGAGTGTTACAAACTCTATGTTTCGGGCCATTAAAGCAGTGGCCACTTTTGAGTCGTTCAGTGATAGCATCTGTTGTGAAAGCACTTTCACCTATCCTACAAATGTATCTGAGTAAGTTTACTGAACAAATTGCATTGTTGACTCAGTTTGGTGTAAGCTTCTTGCTGTAAAGGAGGGATTGAAAAGTGTCGACAGAATAATCAAAGCTTAACGGTTTAATGATCAGTTTATCTTTGTTGCTTGCTTGGGACAAGTAATTTGGTGGTTATTACTTGTACAGTCTATCTTATGAGTGTTTGTTGTACAATCACAGGAGGAACAGCGGCTGCGAGCCAAGAAGGCCAAGGAAGAACTGGAAGAATTCCTGCAGAATAACGAAAAGATGAGCTCGAACACGCGATACCGGAAAGCAGACCAGATGTTTAGTAATGTCGATGTGTGGAAGGCGGTGCCTGAGCGAGAACGCAAGGAGCTCTTTGACGACGTCCTCTTCTTTCTTGCCAAAAAGGAAAAGGTGTGTCTAGCATCTTTGACGCGATAAATTTTAAGGGTGTGCGAGTATTGGAAATTTCGAATATCTTGCTTATTGTGTTTGCTATTTGATTCGATTTGCAGCAGAATGTTACTATTCGAATTTCTGAAAGGCAAATACAGTAGAATCTCATTAAGCGGAACCTGAAGGGACCATTAAAATGTGTTTTGTTTAACAGGGGATCTGTTCATTGAGAGATGAGCAAGGGCACACAATGCAGAAACGAAACCAATCTTGTCGGAAGAATTTGTTCAATTTAAGGAGCAGTTTCATTAAACAAATTTCCGTTTACTGAAAGTCTACTGTAAAGTCAACATTGAATTGGCAGTGACCCCTTCAAGTTTATTAATATGCTTCATGCCATTACGCTCTCGTATCACGGCAAAGCTGACTTTAAAGCTTTGCCACGGTTTATAATGTATTGACTCAAGAAAACGCAAGTTCCAACATGGAGATGATAAATGTGGCAGAGGTTGGGGCTCAACAAAGGTTGTTTTCCAGCTAAAATTAGGGCAACACTTTGGTTGCATCAAATCGTGTACGTAAACACAATACGGCATCTGCATTGCCTCATTCTTGAGGACACAACTATGAAGCACCACTCCACGCGAGAACTCCGTCAACTTAGCTAAAGGAAACAGTTTCATGTTGCTATCTGATAAGAATGTGCTTAGAAAACTTCTCCTCCCTTTTCTTTCTGCAATTAGGCTTTGAAGTACTTTGAAGTATTCAGGAAATATTCTATTTGCTTTGCACTCACACTTCCGTATTTGAATACGCACCCGAATTTTCGCTATTCCCACAACTCTAACAACAATGAATAATAAGGATTTTCGAGTGATAAAATAAGCTCATTGAATCATTTAGTGTGTAGATCAAGTCATGTAGATGTACTTCTGTTTGTGCCAAACATAGAAATTGTGATATTGTCCAAGTGCATACTTTCTTCTCATCATGACTGCATATCAGCATTTTGTTTCCTAGACTTCATGAGGTAATGTCAAGAAACAAGTGAAAGACATTTGAGTAGCACTTAAGGGAAGTTGCTACTTAAAAAAAATGCAAGCTTCTTGAAAATTACATATTTTCTTTGTTTCAGTTTCTTTGACAAGTTTAGTTTCTGTACTTTGATGAAAAAAAGAAGGTTGTTATTAAACTTAAACTACGTTAATATCACTTTTAAGGAGGAATGCGGCTTTGGTATAGAAAAAAAAAAACGACTTTTTAAAAATCAAGTTCTCACTTTCTGGAACCCTTTTCTATCTGATTCCAAAATATCTACACTGAAAACTGTGGAGAAGTGCTTCGAAAAATTCAGTTCACCCTCCTAGGTAGCAAAACATTTTCCTGGAAATGGCGAGAGAACATTGATTTTCAAAAAAATTTTAGCTTTGGGAGGGCGCGGCTGGGAGCTGTCTTCTTGGGTTCATCGGAAAGAGCGTTTCTCCGTGTTCAAATGTTCCGCCTCAGCCGGCTCCTTCCTTTAAGAACAAGTGCACAAAAAGCAAATACTTGAAGCTTATCTCGTTAGTTATTTGCATTCTACAGGTAATGTGGAGCCATATCAGCCACTATTGACTCCTAAATGTAAAAGCTTAGTGGCGGAAAAAATGTGTTCGAATCTTATTGTTATGGTATAAAACAAAAACTATGCACCTTGCTGTAAAACTGATTATATATTTGAAATAAGCATAAAAACGTGTGTACATTGCAAAAGTTTCTTTGCCCAAGGCTACAGATTAAGGAGGTCGACTGGTCTTTGGGACAAAATGTGAAAAAAAAAAAAGTTTATTTTTTAAAACTGACATATTTGGTTTCTGCAAATATTTTTCTATCTCTCTGCAAATTTTCACACACCAGGAAGCGGTAATTTTTTTGTAGTGTCATTCTAACTGTCCAGTTTTTGGTGCTGTTAACATGCAGAACCGGCAAAAAAGTGGGGAACCGACTTCGAAGCTTCTTTATAATTTGCCGGCACGTGTGTTAGAAGCTCTGCTATGAATTTATGGGCACCTTTATGAGGATTGCAATACATGCGCACCATGATTGTTACTTTTTGAAGAAGCTGTGTGTTTTCAGTTTTTCAATTTTTCTCAAAAAAGCAAATTTGTGACTGTTCAATTTTTAGGCCTCAATATCTCTGCAGCCAGGGCAGGTACAGCAATAATTTTTTTTTTGCATTAGAAACCTGTATGTGTGTAGAATGCAAGTATGGGAGCAAAATTTTGAGCACAGGCCTTTTTAATTAATTACTTATCAAAATTGTTACACAATTTCCACTGCTTTTGGAAATGGATAGTTCATTTTGTGGTAAAATAACCAAGAAAGGCCTAAAAACAAAAACTCCTGCATACTTTCAATCTATAGTCATTAGTCTATGTTGGCATACCTTGAATATCACTTTTAATTAAGAACTTTTTTCTATGACAGCCTTAAACAATAGGGGATGAATTTAAGTTATCTCAGGAACAAGATGAGTTACAGGAATATTAATGAAATATTTGAAATCAGCAGAAAAAACTGCATAATCCTGTGCAGTTTGATCAAGATCACAGAAGAAATAAAAAAAAAAATGTCTAAGACCAGTCTGCCCCCTTAAAGAAATATTTTTTATTTGTAGCGTCTCTCCTTAAATACTGAATTTTGACCTAATTATATGTCGTACTGTTCTTGAAAGGAGATTCCATAAGTGATTCCAGAGCTGATGTCTACCGATCAAGCATCACTAAATGGGTCTAAACTCATGCTTCGTACATTGCACTTTGCTGTCTCCACAACAGTTTTGTAGACGCCATCCCTGGTGCCATATCTTTAACGGGACACCCAACAAGTGCCGTTTCAGCTGCTGAATGTTCTTGCTTCATGGCTTGAGGTGGCCACTCTCCCAAACCAGCCAGAGCAAGGCTGTGTTTGTGAGCAGAAGTCCCATTTTGGTTGGGTGGTTAATGCTGTCTGATCTCTTCGGCTGGTTATCATCATTGGCCTGTGTTGACTACAAGAGAAACATGCAACATTGCATACTATAAAGAAGATGCTGCTCAGCAGTGTCTTCTACAGAAAAAGCTGTTATGTGATCACAACAAGGGTGCCAAAGTCGTCTGCTGCCACCGCCAGTGTCTGTAACTGCTATCACGCAAAAAAGGAAGAAGAAAAAGAAGGAAATAACAACAAAAAATATGCAGGATGGAACGGGTTTCGAACCTGGGTCCCCTTCGTGGCGGCCCAGCATTCTACTGCAGAGCCATGGTGGTGCTCGAAACTTCTGTGCACAAAAACTCTATGCAAGCATTATGTAGGGAAGGAAGCGCATTAACATGTGTAATATAGTATGGTAGAAAAGTTAGATAACAGCCAGGGGTCACGCAATGTGGATTGCGTAAGAAGGCTTCACACAGTATAAGTATAAATTGCATAATGAGTGAATCGTTGAATGCTTCCAACCAGTTAAGAAAAATTTAGAAATCTCGAATTAATGCTTCCAGTTACAAAGGGCCCAGCCATAATGCTTTATCACCATCATCCACCGCATCAATTTACGGTGTAGTGGGTACCTTGAAAGCGTACTTGTATTAGTAGCCCGAAGGGCGTTTACAATGGGTTCTAAAAATGATGCTCTTCCAGCTTTTGCTGTGACTGGGCTGCGCTTTTTGCGCAGGCCTAGTGTTTATTTTCTTGTAATGTTGTCCCTGAAATGCCACTAAATGAGCTCCACTGCTTCTATGCAGGAAGAGTCCAAGACGCTGCGCAAACGCAACATGCAAGTGTTGGGCGACATCCTTGACTCGATGACGAGCATCATGCACAGTACCACATGGCAGGAGGCCCAACACCTGCTCCTTGACCACAGCATCTTTGCTGAAGATGCCGAGCTTCTCAGTGAGTGTTGCCTGTCATTTGAACTAAGATGTACTTTGTTATCTTTGCTGGTTCTCTGTAAAGTTTGCTTTCATTCTTTTCCTTATCTGTATGCCATGCTGCCTGTCCGGGAATTAGCAAACTTTAATAACAATAATAATCATAATATGCGGAATTTTTACGTCCCAAAGCCACCATATGATTATGAGAGACGCCATAGTGGAGGGCCCCGGAAATTTTGACCATCTGATGTTCTTTAACATGCACTGACATTGCGCAGTATAAGGGCCTCTACCATTTCGCCTCCATCGAAATGCGACTGCCGCGACCGAAATGGAACCTGCGACCTTTGGGTCAGCAGCCGAGCACAGTCCGTAGCCACTGTTCCAACGAGGCGGACGATTTGCAAACTTTAGACACGCGCAACACGGGACTTAGTTGCTCTGGGCCTAGAAGTGGAAAACGTGTTAATTAGTCTTGTGCGAATCGTGAAATTTAGATTCAAAGCGAATTCGAAGTGAATAATGATTTTGGTTGAATAATTTTGAATCTTATTTTGGTGGTATATGTCACGTATTATAAAGGAAAATTGGCATATTTGTCATAACTCAACTAACCTGCATATAATTTTTTAAACATTGAAACAAGGCCCGTGCGAATGCTGTTCTTTTTGGTTTTAAGGAAGTGGAAACAACTTTGAATAGTAGCAGGATTTGAATTTCAGTAGAGTGCAACTGATAACCTGTGGAATACGCAATGTTTTAAATTTTACTCTACTTAGAGCATATAAGCTGCTTTTAACAAGCTTTTAAACATAAAAAATGCTGAATTGATGTGAAGGTACCGTATTTACTCGATTCTACCGCGCCCTCGATTGTAACGCGCACCCGATTTCCACCGCGAAAAAAAAAAAAACGTAAGACGTCGATTGCAACACGCACCTATTTTTCTCGCTGGCCGGCACGATCACACCACTCGAAAAAACGACCTTTTTCGGGAGCACCTTTCATTTAAATATGAGGTACGGGCGAAGCGGTTGCCCATCTGACGTGTAACAGAGCATTGCCGTCACTGTAGTTTTACCGTGGATTGATGTCAGCACGCGAACTTGCTTCGCCCCCTACTTCTCGATCGTGGTGGTGCCAGGCATGTCGAAGTAAAGAGGCGTCTGATCGGCTTTCCCGATTTGCCCAAGCAGGTAGCCGTTGTTAGCAGGTAGCCGTTGCAAGCAGGTAAACGAGGTCGTAACGCTCGCGAAAATGGGGCAACCACCCATCTGAAGCAGCGAAGTCGTCGTAGTCCAGCTGCAGGGCGAAGTCTGCTCTCTTTGCCAGTATGACTGGGCCACTCAGTGGTATGTCTTGCGAACGCATTTCCTTTATCCAAATGAGAAGCGCTTTCTCGAGGCCAGGATACTTTGCGGGCCGCAACCTCCTTTTTTTGCTCGCAATTTCTGCCTGTGAGGCATCTTCAATAGTCCTTTTATTTTTTATTAAGGGGGGACGCGGCCCTTGAAAACTGAAAAATCGTGAAAAAGTCGGTTTTTGAAAAACCATATTTTTGGGTTGTATGTCTCATAAACTACCTATTCTGTAATTATCAGCACCTAATTCAACCGCAAAGTGCAAAAAAAATACTATTTTCGAGGCCGCCGCGGCGTCCAAAACAGGCGCAAATCCCGAAATCAAACTAAACTTCGCGCGCGTGCCATTCCCAGACCATGCGGTCGTCCCGTGCCATCTTGGTGTTGTTTTGACTGTGAATTCTTTCTCTCTTGTTCGCCGCCTTGCAAAATGCCGTCGGCAGCACAGTTGAGACGCTATTGGCGTTTTCCCGCGATGCCATGCGGAGCGCTGATTGGCTAGAGCAGCGCATTCATATCTCGCGGGAGAAAGCGTGCCCGCCATTGGCTGCTGTGCAGCAGCGGGGGCGGTCGCTCCTCTCGATGGCGCGTCCAGCGCGCTCGCTTCGTTGTTGCTCTCTGCTCCGTCCGCCTCGACAGACGTCTGCTTACGACCCGCTCTTTGCCTTGTGCTATCTTTTCGATCATTTTCTCTCGTTTTTTTTTTCTTTTTGCACTAGTTCTGTGCCTTTCGTCTTTGTTGTTGCGGGCGATGTCGGCAACGAAGCCGAAGTCAGTGCGGAAGTCCGGTGCGCGAAGGCGCGCTATGCGGCTTGTACGATCATCGAAATTCCGCTATTCTGCTGCGGGTGCCGACTGCGTAGACGCTTGCAGCGACGGAACTGTGTTGTCGGCTGTCGCCAGTCGAGAATCCGACACATCGAGTGTGGCTGGAGCCGCAAATGCACCGAGTGTTTCCGAGATCGCCGGGCTCGACACGTGCTCCGGATCGATGCCATCCAGTGTGACACCGAGTGCTTCTGATATCGCCGGACCCAGCACTTTGTCTGAATCGGTGCCATCGAGCGTGACACCAAGTGCTTCTGGTATCGCCGGACCCAGCACTTCGTCTGAATCGGTGCCGCCATCGAGCGTGAGTGGACCGTCGCTTCATCTGCGGACGCATTTCCTAACGAAGGAAGAAATCGATGCGAATGCGAAACGCCGTGACGCTGTTCGCGCTGAACTCGAGTCTACGCCGGCGACGCAGAAGAAATTTCAACTGATGCAGCCGGCTCTTGCACCTGCAGTGACAAGTGAGGGCGAACATTTTTCGCTCGTTCAAATGAACATCTTTAACGTCGTGCTCAGCCGCACAGTGTGCAAAGAATGTTTGAAATGTGCTACGACTGTCCGAGAGAGCACCAAGCTTGGACTTGCAACAAAACTTGAAGTCGTGTGCGCCTTTTGTGGCACCGTCGATAAATTATGGACATCACCCCGCAAAAAGGACACGCAGGCCTTCGATGTAAATGTCCGCGCCATAATGGCTATAAAGCAAATAGGCAAGGGGCAAACAGCTCTTAATGACTTTTGGGCTGCCATGAACGTCTCTTACAGAGGTCTTCACCACAAGACATTTCAAAAGCACTTGAAAGAGACGTTCAGGAAGCCAGAGGCCACCGCTTTGGAGAAGTTTTATGCTGATTCTGCCACAGCAGTGATCAAAACATATAAAGAAATGGACCCCAGCTTCTGCAAGGACATCACCGTAGTGTACGATGGCACATGGCATAAGCGGGGTCACACATCACACATCGGAGTGGGATCGGTAATTGACTTCTTTACAGGTCTCATCTTGGATGCTGTAGTTCTTTCAAACCACTGCCTTGGATGCCAAACAGGGCCCAAACCTGGAGATGCAGCATACGAAAGCTGGCAGAAGCACCACATTTGCCAGAAAAACACAGACGCAAAATCGGGAAGCATGGAAGTGGAGGCAGGCTTGACTCTCTTTGGGCGGTCTGTATCCAAGCATGGCCTGCGGTACACCACTCTTGTGTCCGACGGAGACAGCCGTACCTTCGCTGCCCTCACAGAAGAGAATGTGTACGGGCTAGTGCCAATTGTAAAAGAAGAATGTCTGAACCATGTTCAGAAAAGGATTGGAAGTGCTCTTCGAAACATTGTGCAGAAAAGTGATAAGCCACTGAGTGGGAAGGGGAAGCTGACTAAAGCTCTCATTGAAAAGCTGACAGGATATTATGGTTGGGCCCTGAGAAACAATTCAACTGACCTAACAGCCATGCAGCGTGCAGTGATGGCAACATATCACCACGTCACATCGACTGACCAGGACCCTCACCATGAACTTTGCCCAGAGGGGGCTCAATCGTGGTGCCGCCATAGAGCTGCAGAGGCAAAGCGTGAGCCACAGCCAAAACATAAACACAGCCTACCGGACTATGTCGCTGCAGCTATGCTGCCCATCTACGAAAGACTGTCACAAAAGTCGCTTCTTCAGCGCTGCCTGGGAGCGAAGACGCAAAATGCATCAGAATCATTCCACTCCATTCTGTGGTCTCTGATGCCGAAGGAACAAGACTCATCCTTGATCGCGGTAGAAACAGCACTGCATGAAGCAGTGCTGCGCTACAATGCCGGCTGCTGCAAAGCAACCCAAGTGATATCAGACTCTATTGGACTTCAACCAGGTCATCTGGCCATCCAGCGAGCTCGTGAAAAAGACGCTTTACGCCTAAAAAAGAATTCTAAAAGACACCAAGAGAAGATGGAGGCCAGGCAAAAGAAGAAAAGAGTGCGCCAGGACACTTCTAGCTACTGTGCTGGAGCTTTTTGAAGAAAACGCGTGTTTTGAACTTTCTCGGCCTGTTTTCTCAGAACGGATTTTTTTGCTAGTTGTGGTGCTGAGGAAAGCAAGAACTCGAAAACCGTTTATCAGATTTGTGCGCCGTTTTTTTTATTCTGTTCCTGAATGACCTTGCAAGGGCGTAACAAGCTCCTTTTTTTGAAAATTGGTGCTGTTAATTTATAATAAACAATGAATTTTTGATGAATCTGGTCATTACTGGTTACATCAAATTCAAAGTTGCGTGAAAATTTGGGGGGGGGGGGGAATAAAAAAAAACGGCTTTGTAGCGCCCTGGGATAGCTATCAAGGAATGACCACAATGAATTTCAGCTTTCTACTATGTCCTGGGATTTCTCACGACTCTTCCTCAGGCACACATGTGAAGCACCCAGTTAAACCTCAATAACTCTGGAACTAAAAAACACAGCTTTGTGAAACTTAGCAGTTGTGCTAGTTTTATTGTAGTGAACAACCCCTGAAAGTTTCATCCAGATATCTTAAAAAATAAAAAAGTTTGGTCTCCAGGGTAGCCTCCCCCCTTAAGTAGATAGCATCGTTCTCGGTATGCCATACTTTTTCGTGTTTTTTGGCTGAGGCAAGAGTCTGGCATTCACTTCCTGCAGGATGTCAGCTTTCTCTTGAAGTGTTCTGGCATGCTGTTTGCTGCGGGCACACGCCATCAAGTCGCAGCAGCAGAATCATGACAGACAGAAGCTACTCTCGGCGCTACCGCAGCAAACGTTAGCCGAGGCCTAACACCAACACAAAGAATCGCGACAGACGGAAGCTACTCCCGGCGCTAACAACCGAGGCGTATGACGCATGCCTGAGACGGAGACTGCAGAAATAAAGGCTGGGCGATGCATCCGATTTGCTGTGTGCTGGTCATGCCATGTGTCGCTTAACAGCAACAGCTATGCAGGATTTGCAAATACTTCGTGATCAGTGCTTGAAAAAAAACAAATCTTGGAGGTTATGTAGGACGTAAAGGAGGCAGCCGTCGAGAGAGAGAGAAATTTGGGGGGGGGAGTTGTGAAGAGTAAGAGGCTCTATTTTCTGCATTCTGACCTCCACACCAGCTTCTGTCTCCGTTTTTCTCTCCGCTCTCTGTCAACGCTGCCTCGTAACTCTGCAGCCACCTTATCTAGTGACTAGCCAAGTTGCCGGCGCGGTTGCGCGTAGTTCGAATTATTCGTCGCGGAACTTAGTTGGTTCAAATTAGGCGCTTTTTATTCATAGGCTTGTATGGAGCTTGGCCGGACCATAATGTACAGTTCGAATTATTATAAATTCGAAATATTGAAGTTCAAATTAATGAGCTTTCACTGTATTCAGGTGCACTGAGTGCCTCTAATGAAACAGTGCATGAATGCTGGTTGCATTGAATAGAACTGCTCTTGTGTAACACACATGAATTTGTGCGCGGAAACTGTGTATGTAGCCTACCATTCAAGCCATCAGTAAGCTGGGCACAACACAGTGGGCAAAACAATGACATGGAATGTGTACTGAAGGTAGAGTAGTCACATTATTATGCCTCTCCTTGTGCCTCACAAAATTCTTCTGTCTATTGATAGACAGAAAAAGGAATAGAGAAGCAGTGTTGGTTCAATGTACACTCATTAAATGGACCTGAAGGGGCCAGCAAAGAATGCTCTGTTTAAGAGGAGTTTCGTTTTTTGAGAGATGAACAGGGGTGCAGAATATGAAAATGAGACCAATATTGTCATAAGCACTCGTTTCATTTAAGGGGGGATGCTACACCTTCCAAAAACTCTTTTTATTTTTGCGAGTACCTCAGTCAAATTTGGAGAGCCTATGTAGATTTTACTGCTGATTTCAAAAATCTAATTCTTTTTTTGCTGTGACAATTAGTTTTAAAGATATAATGAACTGCGACTTTTTCAATTAAGGCCTAATTAGCTAATTAACTGTAACTTGGATATTGATGTGCAACCTATAGAACCAATTCGGTATGTTCACAGTGTGCAATAAAGTATGAATCATTGTTCTGGGCTATTTCGAAGCAAAGTTGTGGGATGTTGAATATGACATGAAAAATTTCCCCATCTACACTTGAAACAAAAGATCCATTTAGAGAATTTTCTCCAAAAATTATTACAATAAAACTTACTTTACGACACATCCCCTGCATTTATCTTCGAAACAAAAAAGAAATCGTAATGATAACCCAGATAGAACAAGAGATATTGCTCCGGCATAATGGGAAGCACATGAAAATTGTCGTTTTGAGAAATTGAGAAAAAACGTGGGCACACATTTTATTGCAGAAGATGCAACAAGACAACCTCAAAACGCACCAGAAGCATAGTCTGAATGCATTCTGTGCTCATGCCTCCTCTTCACTAGCTTCCGGAGTTCCAATGAGGCTGTTCTTTTCTTGTTGGAGACAATGCTGCGACGGTGGTCTTTTTCTCTCGCTCTCCTGGCACCAGTACTTGTCGCATTCATGTCCATTTCACCTAAGATTGCCGTTGCAGAATTCAAATTGCCCGTGTTGAAGCGCAGCACTGCTTCTGCAACAGCTGCTTCAACAGCGAACAGGGACGCATGGTGCTCCTTGGGGGCCAAACTTCAGATTACCGATTGTAGGCTCTCGTTGGAGTTCTGCGTTTTGCCGCGTTCGCACCTCTGAAGCAGGGCTCTTTCCGAAAGCCGGGTATAAACCGGTAGTAATGCCTCTGCCATGTCTTTCGGTAGATTGTAGGCATGCCTGGGGTCGGGCTCACCCTTTGCTTTTGCGGCATTGTGCCGACACCATGAAGTTTCACCAGCTGGGCACAGACTGTGGTCCGAGCATTCATCAGTGGAGGTGACGTGGCGGTATGTGGCCATCACAGCCTTTTGCATCTCGCCCACGTCACCTTCATGCGATTTCAGAGCCCGGCCATAATATGTGCTCAGCCTGGTGATCAGCTCACCTGTGAGCCAGCCTTTCCCACCAAGGCCTCTTTTCCCATTGCACTTTTGTTTCTGCACCAGGTTTCTCAATGCGGTGCCCATCCGTTTCTGTACATGATTAATACAGTCTTCCTTCTGCACGTCAATGTAACCATACACCTTGGCGTCTTGTATGGCGCAAAATGTCCTAGAGTCTCCATCAGACAGCATAGTTGTGTAGCGCAGGCCATGGCGTTCAAGCGACCTCTGAAATAGAATTAGAGCCGCCTCCACTTCCATTTGCCCCGCTTTGCTGTTCGTATTTTTTTGGCATTTGTGGTTAGCCTTCCATTCTTGATAGCCCTCACTACTAGGCTTTGGGCCCACCTCGCAGCCTAGGCAAAAGTTGGAAAGAACGACGTAGTCCAACACGTAGCCACTAAATAATTCGATAACTGTGCCCACGCCGATGTGGGAAGAATGGCCTCGCGTCTTCCACATGCCGTCGTAGCTAACGGCAACATTGCCCCGGTGGCCGAAGCACAAGTCATCATAAATTGTTCTAACCTTTTCCGCACATTCGCTCATAGCGGACTCAGCCGCTCGCGTTGCAGCGGGTGCCAGCGTGTTCTTCAAATGCCGCTGAAACGTCTTGTGGTGCATACCGCGGTGTGAGATGCCCATTGTTGCGAAAATATCGTTCATTTTCGTTTGGCCGTTGCTGGTAGCCACCATCGCCCTCGAAGCGAGAAGATTTACTTCAAACGGATTGCTCGTTTTCGTGCCGTTCGCGCAGGGCGAAGTCCATTCATTCGCGATCTCACCGCACCTTTCACACTGCACTAGCACTTTCACGGCAAGTCCGTAGTCCCGATCCCCTCTGACGATCGTAGCCGGTCCGTGGCAGGCTTTGCAACACAAGGCACCCATTATCGCGTTTAGGATATCTAGATGCATAAGCAGATAAGGAGCAGCGTGGTCCGAGTCCTGTGCGGTTGCCTCGCTACAACTCACGGTGAAAAAGTCAATTTTCCGTGCAGTTGCTGGCGCCGATGAAAGCCGGTCGAGCGTCGCTTTCTCCCGGGCATGATTTTCTTCAACTTCGGCGTTTGTCACCACCTTGGCGTCGATTCGTAGTCATCCGGAGTTCGCTTCACCGTCATCGTCGTCGGAGGCAACGCGCTCGGTCGCACCATCGCTGAACGGCCGCGGAGCGTCGACACATCGTTCGTCGGAGTCAACCAAGGGCTCTGATGACTTCGTAGACTTTCTCCCACGACCTTTGCGTTTCCTGCGACCAAATGCGTGCACGGTCCGATACTTTTTTGCGTTTCCAGGCATGGCGATACGATCAGAAGCTTCAGAGTGCTCTGCCGATTTCGAGGCGTCACAGTGGTAACCCTTTCAAAATGGCGTCGGGTCGCGTATGCAGGCGCAAGCCGCGAGCTTCCAGCCAACCGGAAAGCGCCATTTCAGTCACGTGCGCCGTTTAGCCAATGGCAGTGAGCGCGGCTCTTCGTCTTTGAGGCCCCGTTTTTCGAGCCGGGGAAACGCTCAATGTTGCTTACTGAATAAAAAAAACAGCTGAAAACGCGTTCTTTCAAACAAGACCAAAATGGCGCCGATCGAGCGCGTAGTTCCCGCGTATCGTAGAGCCGAAACCTGCGCTATTCGCCCTCAATTTAAAGGGCAGGACGCCCGTTTTCGGTTTTTTAAAGTTGAATAACGATAAAAGTTGATGGTATTTGGCTATGAAATTTTGTAAATAGGTGCGCAATGATGTCGGGAACGCGAAAAGAAGGTCCGCGAAAACTCGATTTTTTGGCTGATTTTCGGTCCCGAAGTGCCGCGTCTCCCCTTAAGCAGCAGTTCTGTTTAAGCGATTTGCGTTTACTGAGCCTACTGTACTTGGCAGTGAGTCGTTAAAAGCAGCGCTGTTCATTAATTTCATGGAATGTGCACAAAATTTTGACAGTGACGGTGGAAAGGAACTCCGTATGCTGTCACAATTCAAATTACCTTGTTGCTGTAGTATCTCCACTTTGCTGCTTTTTTTTGCAACTGTATGGAACTGCACTTTGACAGAGCTTCATGTGAACCCCATTTACGCAGACATGGACAAGGAGGACGCGTTAATCATCTTTGAGGACCACATTCGAACGCTGGAGCAGGAAGAGGAAGAAGACAAAGAGCGTGCAAGAAGACGGCTCAAGCGTCAGCAGCGCAAGAACCGTGAGGCCTTTTTGGTAGGCATTGGCCCAAGCACAACCTCCTGTTGTTACTGAGATGCATGCTCTCAAACAAGGTCTTTTTTGGGGGCTGCTACCACCCGCCTTTTCTAGAGCCCTAGCTAACAAAAAGCTACTTGATGGTCTCTCATAATTTTAGTAATTAGCCATCAAGTCAGGAAACAGTCTAATGTTAATTTTGCATGCATCTGAGTGCCCCTAGGCACTAGAAGTATTGCAAGGTAGCTTGAAGAGAATGTTTTTAGATTTAAACAGACACATTCACTCTTCACATAGGTGTTACTGATTCACACAAATTTCTGTTCCACTGAAGAAAAAAAAAAAGAGAAGAAAGCCAGAGGACATTTAACCTTCACCTTAAATAGAAGGATTGGGCCCCATGCACATCACCTTCTCAATTGCTAACCTGGCTTCGATTCTTAGTGGATGCCTGAACCATGCTGCGAGGAAACAAATGTCTGTGCGTGTAACACTGGTTGTTTCAAACTATCCTAGAATACCTACTGCGCTGAGAATTGTGTAGTGTTTTGGGACGATTAACAAAACTTGGGAAATGAAACGTGTGACAATACAGTCGATCCCGAATATATCAAACTCGGATATATTTACTTATTGGCTATATCGAACAATTGAGAAATTCCCTTAAATTTCTCATGCAAAAGTATGGGATCGGTGTGCCTGTGCGTGGAACTCTCACACTGTGAGACACCCGATATATCGAACACTGCGCTATGCCAAACCCCAAAAAGTACATTTTTCTTAGCAAATATTAATAAATTTTCGGCAGCGTTCGAACAAATTTCGATCCTTTTTCATGGGCAAATGACGAAAAAGTGTTGTTATTTCATTGCACTGATCTGGTTCGTTACGCGACACTTGCGAGTGCACCGCTATGTGAGATGTGCGATCTGCAGGTCTTAATGCACGGGCGTAGTGTTTTTTAAAGAGACTGATTGCCGAGGACACCATAGTGAGAATGCGAAGTGACTCGGCGATCTCGTTGCAATGTTCGCATTCCCTTCCTTGCTTGTTAGCGCACAACGGCATACGAGTTTGAAAAGCGTGGCCTTTGAGATGTGCAACTTTTGTGACGTATTTTTGGTGCTTTCAGTTTTGAAATGCACGTCTCGGAGACTACGCTCTTTCTGGCTTTTCGCATCAAAGCAGCTGAAAACAGCAACTGCCAGGTACAAAGGCACAAGTGACATCGATATCGCCAACATGTCTGACTGTGGAAACTCGATGTTGTATGTTTTCTTATGCGCTTTCTTGCCTCGTTCCTGATAAATCCTCATTTTGGGGTTGAAGTGAACGTTGACCCACACGTAGCGATAAAAACTATCACTGGTGCTTGAAGGGACGTCAAGTAAAGCACCGTCGCAAACTTCTTTGTGGGCCAGGTGACGACTTCGGGTGCATCATGACCTCTGGCGTATGGTGCCTCAGTGAATTCTGCGACTTATCAGCGTTTTTGGGCACCATCTCGGATAGAGAGCGACTTATCAGTGCAGATGATGACGTAGCTGTTTCTGACTGCATCGATGCTCAGATCGTGGCTGCCGTTGCCAGTGCTGCAATCGTACCCCTGGGTTATGAATATGCCATCGCCGCCGCCGCTAACCAAGCTTTTGCCGAGTTACTAAGCTTGCATTGGTGTTCTGCGTCAATCAATGCTGTTGAGGCTGAAAGAGCTGAATTTGCTTATTTGAAAAGCTTCAATGATATTGAGGATGACTGGAACTTGATGGCATGCAAGAAGTGAGACAAGTTTACGGTCTATCTTTATGCGAAATAAAGTACGGTAACTCGCAGTTCACACCTTGTTCTTCATTATACTGTGAGCGAATCATTATTTTCGCGCTTGAATGATTTCCTGAGGCCTGAAATGCATTAGTTTAGGCCTTAAATACGCATATCTTGTAGTTCGAATCATTGATATATCGAACTAATCCGCGATTATTTTCGAGTTCGATATATTTGGGATCGACTGTATTACATGCTCTAAGGACACTCCTCTCCCTAGCATGACATTTATATAGTGTTCTTTTTTCGAAGCAGTTTCAAGCAGTGGATGGGCTCTGTAGTAGAACATCTGCTTGCCATGCAGAAAGCCTGTGTTTGATTCTCACTCGTACCGAAGGTTTTTAATATTTATTTTATTTGAAATTTCAATTTTTTGCTCACAGGCAAAGCCTACTATCACTCATAACCAGTGATGCTGACGCAAACACCCGAATTTCAGTGAAATGAGCTCTTAATGCTATTGCATTAAAAGAATGGAAATGTGTTAATATTGATACAAAACAGCCGCTAAACACGGCTGCATGAAAGAGGAGGACGAAGTCAGTTTTCGTTGGATGCTGGTCTGGCGCCATCTTGCTCGTCGAGTTCTGTGCGCTGTAAATAGATCATTAAAGAAGTTACTCGTAACATTATTGGTGGAGGTGGACGACCCCCGTATTTCGATGGAGACGCGCAGCGGTTGCACCATCGGCGACCTTTCGACTGCTTCGACTGCTGGTACTTCCTCTACGCCGCCCTCATCAGTCCAAGCCACCACCTACGTCACACTCCCGCACCTCCGGGATCCCGGCACTTTCTCCGGTGATGGTACGATCGATCTCGACACTTGGCTGAAGCGGTACGAGCGCGTCAGTGCAACTCACCGCTGGGATCCCACGCTCATGCTCGCCAACGTGCTTTTCTACCTGGACGGCACTCCCCGAACATGGTTTGAAAGCCACGAAGCCGACATAACGAGCTGGGATCTCTTCAAAGAAAAGATACGTGACCTGCTTGGCGATTCATCTGGTCGTCAGCTCGCCGCGAAGAAGACTCTTGCCACACGGGCCCAGTCTTCTACCGAATCGTACGTCCCCTACATTCTTGACGTTTTGGCCCTTTGTTCCAAGGCCGACCAGTCCATGTCGGAAGACGAAAAAGTTAACCACGTCTTGAAAGGCATTGCCGATGATGCTTTCAACCTGCTGGTTTTTTACAACGTCTCGAGCATCGACACCATCCTTAAAGAATGCTGACGTCTCGAACAAGCTAAAGCCCGCCGTGTAGCCCAAAACATCGTGCGCCTTCCGAACACAGCGACCACTTCTTCGTGTGACGACGCCTTCCACCAGGCCCCTCTATGTGACAACCTCACACGCATCATTCGTCGAGAGGTCGAGGCAGCACAACCGGTAGCCACGCCACTACCGACGCCTGCGCCTTCCCCGACCACGATTTCTTTGATACAAGCCGTCGTTCGTCAAGAGCTATCGAATGTCGGCCTACATCCTGTTCCTGCCGTATACTCTGCTGCGCCTTCTTTTCGTCCCGCTTCTGCTCCTCGCATACAATGCAATCCGTCCGAATGGCGTACCCTTGATGACAGGCCCATATGTTTCAGCTGTCGACGCGTTGGTCATATCGCACGTCACTGCCGCAGCCGCTGGGCTCCACTGTCCCATTATGCACCTCAGTATCACACCACTTCTGCTCGCCAGTCGTCTCCATCACTTTCTCCATCAACGCCGACCACATTTTCCGCTCCTACAGCACCTCTGAGCAGACCTCGCTACGACCGGTCACCGTCCCCTGCTCGTCGTCAGTCCCGGTCGCCCCCACAACGCCGCCCTGCCTCCCCGACCTATTCGCAGCATCTCCGACCGGAAAACTAGGCCGTGCAGCTTCTGGAGGTGGAGCTGCGTTGACGACCTTCGTAAGAAATCCTCGATTAACGTTAACAACGAACCGGAACCTTTTGGACGTTACTGTCGACAATGTTCGTGTCAGTGCATTGATAGATACTGGCGCGCATGTGTCCATTATGAGTGCTAACCTTCGCCGCCGACTTAGAAAGGTTGTCACGCCCGCCCTCAATTGAGCTGTACGAGTCGCCGACGGAGGAACTGCCGCAATTCTTGGCATGTGCTCTGCGCGAGTGTCTATTGGGGAGAGAAGCACTGTCGTTCTTTTCGCCGTTATAGAACATTGCCCTCATGAACTCATTCTCGGTATGGATTTTCTAGCCACGAACTCTGCCCTCATAGACTGTTCAGCTGGCTCTCTCCATCTCGATTTACCCCTCTTTTCCGACCCGCCTAGCCCACCGCAAACCAGCCTCTGCTGCATTGATTTCACGCGCCTCCCTCCTAACTCTGTTACACATGTCGACTTATCCTCCACGCCGCCAGTACCTGATGGTGATTACATAGTGGCCCCGATTCCTGCAGTGATGCTTACGCATGGGTTTGCTGTGCCGCATATGATTCTGACGATTAAGAGAAACTGCACCTTCCTTCCACTGGTCAACTTTTCACTCATCACCCAAGTTCTGCCACAGGGTATCTCCCTGGCCAAAATTACTGCTCTCCAAGATGACCATGTCGAGCCCTTCAGAGTTGACGATTGCTGCAGCTCAGTCAGTGGTTCCACTCCATCACGTTCTTGGGGCGCCGACATCGAGCGAATGGTGTCATCGGACCTCACTTCTGAGCAAGCTGCAGTGCTTTGCCACGTTCTTGAGGGCTATCGTAGCATTTTCGACTTTGCCAGCAACTCTTTAGGCCAAACGACCATTGTCACCCATCGCATAAATACTGGCCATGCAACCCCCATTCACCAACGCCCCTACCGTGTGTCTGCGTCGGAGCGTGCAATATTACAACATGAAGTCGGCAAAATGCTTGTGAAAAACATTATCGAGCCTTCATGCAGCCCCTGGGCTTCTCCAGTCGTCCTTCTTAAAAAGAAAGATGGAACATGGCGCTTTTGTGTCGATTACCGTCACCTTAACAAAATTACCAAAAAAGACGTTTATCCTTTACCCTCGCATCGACGACGCCCTCGACTGCCTGTACGGTGCCACTTATTTTACAACTATTGACCTTCGATCAGGGTACTGGCAGATAGCCAGTCGACGAGATGGACCTGCGAGAAGATTGCATTCATCACTCCTGATGGTCTTTATCAGTTTAAGGTGATGCCCTTTGGCACTCTGCAATGCACCAGCCACATTTGAAAGAATGATGGATTCATTGCTCCAAGGGTTGAAATGGTCCACCTGCTTGTGTTACCTTGACGATGTTATTGTCTTTTCGCCCACATTCGACTCGCATCTTGATCGTTTGTCAGCTATTCTGGACGTTTTTCGTCGAGCCGGACTCCAGCTTAACGCCTCCAAGTGCCGCTTCGGTCGTCGTCAAATTTCCGTGCTCGGTCACCTTGTCGATGCCCAAGGCGTGCGTCCAGACCCAGAGAAAATTCGCGCAGTCACGGACTTTCTCGTTCCGAAAACCACAAAGGATGTCCGCAGTTTTGTGGGGTTGTGCTCATATTTCAGACGCTTTCTTAAGGACTTTGCGACCATTGCACGCCCACTCACTAGACCTCTTGAAGAAAGACGCCTCGTTTACCTGGGGCCCATGACCAAGCAGTCGTCGTTTTCGCAACTTACGACACTGCTTACAACGCCACCAATCTTGGCTCACTTTGATCCATTAGCCCCAACCGAGGTTCACACGGACGCCAGTGGACACGGGCATAGGAGCTGTGCTATTGCAGCAACAACGCGGACACGACCGTGTATAGCCTACGCAAGTCGACTGCTATCTCCAGCCGAGCGCAACTATTCCATCACGGAGCGCGAGTGCTTCGCCCTTGTATGGGCAGTCATCAAGTTTCGCCCGTACCTGTACGGGCGCTCAGTCCGTGTTGTCACGGATCATCACGGGCTCTGCTGGCTAGCCTCCCTGAAGGACCCCACGGGACGTCTCGCTCGTTGGCTCTACGCCTACAAGAGTACACGTTCTCTGTAACGTACAAAACAGGGCGATTGCATCAGGATGCGGATTGTTTATCCTGCTACCCTGTTGACGAAGCAGCCGATACCGACGCTATCACGGACGTTTTTTTCGTGTCGCAGCTGCTAAACATTGGCGAAGAGCAACGTCGGGATGCTTCTTTACGAGCCATCATTGACAAACTGGAGTCAACGTCCCTACGAATGTTTTTGATGAAAGACGGGATCCTATATCGCCGAAACCTTGAATCCTTCGGATCAGACTTACTTCCTGTCATCCCAGCGCACCTGCGTTTTACTGTCCTGCATCAACTTCATGACGCTCCCATGACGGGCCATTCGGGCGTTTCTCGCACGTACGATCGGGTACGACGTCGGTTTTTTCGGCCTGGACTTGCCCGCTCTGTTCGACGCTATGTCGCCGCTTGTGAGCCCTGTCAGCGTCGCAAAACGCCGTCTGCCTTCCCAGCCGGCTACCTTCAGCCGATCGACGTTCCCAATGAGCCTTTCTTTCGAGTTGGTCTCGACCTGTTGGGCCCTTTTCCACTCTCCACAGCCGGAAATAAATGGATTGCTGTTGCCACGGACTATGCGACGCGGTACGCAATCACACGAGCACTCCCGACCAGCTGCGCTACCGACGTTGCGGACTTTCTGCTGTACGACATAATATTAGTGGACGGTGCTCCCCGTCAACTTCTCACCGACCGTGGCCGCACGTTCTTATCAGCTGTCGTTCATGAAATCCTGAGGTCTTGCCATACCAAGCACAAATTTACTACTTCGTACCATTCCCAGTCAAATGGCCTCACGGGGTGCCTTAACAGGACCCTAACCGATATGCTTGCCAAATACGTTGCGCCAGACCACCAAGATTGGGACATTCATTTGCCGTATGTGACGTACGCCTACAATTCATCTTGTCACAACACTGCCGAATATTCGCCCTTCTATCTACTATATGGCCGGGACCCAACTTTACCTCTAGACACGTTACTACCTGCGGCCACTGAATATGCTGGTGAAGCCATTGCCCGCGCCGACCACGCGCGCCAAGTCGCCCGTAACCGTCTACAGGCTTCACAGGCGCGCCAACAACAGCTCTACGATTCTCACCATTGGGACGTGCACTTTTCTCCAGGTTCTCTCGTGCTCCTCTGGTCACCTACTCGGCGTGTGGGACTGTCTGGAAAACTGTTGTCGCCCTGCACTGGACCATTCCGTATCGTTTACCAAGTGACAGACGTCACGTACGAGATTGTTCCAACCGATCCAACAAAGTCATCGTCAACTTCAAGCGACACTGTTCTCGTGGCTCGGCTAAAGCTCTATTACCCCCTTCGACATCATCTGCGTAAATTTAGCACCGGGACGGTGCTTCTACCGCGGGGGGTTATGATACAAAACAGCTGCTAAACACGGCTGCATGAAATAGGAGGACGAAGTCAGTTTTCGTTGGATGCTGGTCTGGCGCCATCTTGCTCGTCGAGTTCTGTGCGCTGTAAATAGATCATTAAACAAGTTACTCGTAACATTATTAACACAATGACACAGTTACCAAGCTTGGTGGAGTCTTGCTGTCTTTCTGATTGTGGTAGTGCTAAAATGAGCGCACTAGAACCTGCTCACTAAAGCATTTATGAAACTACCTGTCACAGCTGAATGGTTGTCTTCAGATCCACGCACGTGTGCTGGCTGAAATGGGCAGTGCCATTGGTGCATATCTATTTCAGGCGCACAGAAGGACAAACAATAGCTCTCATTAAGACATTTTTCTCACCCTTAAAGAGACTGAAATTTCATGCCATAACATGCCTACAGCACCTTTTGCCTTTAATTGGTAGAGCTGGGTAACTGTGGAAACAGTGTCAAAATATGACCGATAACTAGATTGCTCAAACACGCTTATGCCTGCTTATGAAGTGTCGTCTGATGAGAATGGTGGTTGGTGGGTCAAGACTGTAGAGCAAAGCCCTGGAACATTGCATTATTATTGTTGACTTGGTATGTCGCTGTTTTTCCCACCTCATTTTTTGCCAGGCACTGCTGAACGAGCTGCACGAGAAGGGAAAGCTAACATCCATGTCTCTATGGGTAGAGCTCTATCCAGTCATTCGCGCTGATGTTCGATTTACCAATATGCTCGGCCAGCCAGGTAAGTCTGTGGCTTCCTCTTCGCGTCACATTGTTCTATGTTACATCTCTATCTGAAGTCGTTGATTTGAATGAAGTAGTTTCAGATTGACAGAAGTTTCATTGCTATGTAGTAACACTGGTCATGCTAAGTTAGAAAGCTGCTTTGAAAAGTTCTGTTTGCCTGCCGTTGTACTGGCACAGTTCAGATGCAGCACATATCTTTATTTTGAATATATAAAAGTTGACTGGAGGCACAATGTGGACACATGCTGTAGGCTGTCTGCTAACGAACTTGGCACGTGCAGCTCTTCGCCAAACGTGCAGTTTGCAAAGCGTGGCTTAACCTTCAAGGTTGGGTGGCAGGATTTGGACATTATCTATTAGTGCTTTAGCTTTAACTATAGCATTCTAATGTTCATGCAATATTATTTAGAATCTCTCCTGAAGAAACTGGATCATGGCACAGCAAAAATGTTTAGCAGTGCTTGCTGCAATGTGTTTTACACTACGATCTATATGCCTTTCCAGGATCTACACCACTGGATCTGTTCAAGTTTTTTGTGGAAGACCTTAAGGACAGATTCCACGGTGAAAAGAAAATCATCAAGGAGATTTTGCGAGAGAAGAACTTTATGGTAGAAGTGAACACAGTGTACGATGACTTTGTCACTGTGATCAGTGAAGATAAACGGTCAGCCACCTTGGATGCTGGCAACGTGAAGCTCACCTTTAATAGCGTAAGGCCTGCCACTTTAAAGTTTCTGCTGTTTATTCTTTTGACAGTAAATTGTAATGAATGTGGCATATATAGTACTAGCACTGATATTAACTGCATAAACTTGTGGCTTTTGCTCTTGTCCACATGTCTACTTCAATAAATTATCACTGGGAATCAAGAAATGTTCCTCTGACTGATGCCAGGAGTTATACTGAATGTAAAGCAGCCAGTAGTAAAAAATGCATATTTTTTCTTGTTTCAGCACACTGAAGTACCAGATACGTCCACTTATTTCACATTAATGCCTAATTGGCCAACAAAGCTTAAAGTTTGTCTTTTCTCGTATCACTGCAGTTTATATTTCGCACTTTGCTATTGCTGTATAAGTATATACATTCAATATTATGCCATAAGTGGTGAACAGGTGACAGCCTCAACCAGAGACATTTTAACGCCACTTCCACTTAAGACTTTCTACGAAGTCCATGTGCAAGGCTTTCATGGAGTATGTCAAAGTTGAGTCTTATGGAGCTAGGCATGTTGCAAGAGGCACTTTATACAGTGGTCCTACATATTGCGTTTCTCGACGTCTTATTACTCGTGTGCTTCCAGCTTTTGGAGAAGGCAGCGGCAAGAGAGAAGGAGCGACTCAAGGAGGAAGCCCGCAAGGTCTGTTGGTTATTTATCGCATTTGTTTTGGTGTTTGTTGCCCTTGCTTTTGCGTTTACGCAGTTGGTGCTCTCGCTTTGATTTCTGCAGCAACGCAAGCTGGAGAATGCATTCCGGGCCATGTTGAAAGGCGCCATGCCATCAATTGACAGTGGCTCCTCCTGGGACCAGGTCAGTCTTCCATTTGCACTGGCATCTTTCTAGATATTTACTCTGTCTTTCTGGGCTTGGCACTCTACAATCTCTCTTGAGCTTTGTTCCTGAAAGACACAAAGAAGATCGCTCATGCATGTTCAGCAGGATTGTTGCCAGGGAGCTTATATAGGTGATAAAATCTCGATTGATCGATTGGTTCATTAATTATTTTAAGTTCTCATTATTACATGAAAATGGGCAACGCTGGTTAAGCTGATAGCCACCGTCTAGTAGCACGGTTTGAATAAATATCAAATATCTGTCCTTCCAAATTGAAGCTTTTTCTAGGGAAGCAGTTCTTCCAAATTTTTTTCTAGGCATGTGCCTCAGTGACATTATGATTATCTAATAGTGGGAGCGAAAATACCGTATTTACGCGATTGTATGTTGACCCATTTTGTCGCAATGCGAAATTCAATGTTTAGGGTTCGAGCTAGCATGGAAAACTAGTTTTGGTTGTGGTGTCTCACTAAAAATAATCCCCCCATTTTTTTCTTTGCAAAGCTAGCTTTTTCTGTGCAGCTTTGAAGCACTGCCGTGAAGCCATCTTGGCACACTGAAATTTGACTTTTTTAGAACGGAAACGAACATTTTAATAAAAAGCGCCCGTGCTCTTTGTTTTTTAAGGGGGTCAACCAACATTCAGTTCGACTTACATTTATGTAAATATGGTGATCGCTGGTCAGTTACACAGTCTCAAGTCTTTAGCCGAAACATGGCTTATATATATTTTTCTCACGAGTTGCTTCACTCCATTGCTATAAATGCTGCCTTAAAATAGCTGATAAAAGGAAAATACACATGCTAGTGCACATCTTGTCACTGTGAAGTTGCACCATGCTTCAGTCTAACACAATAGAATATTGTCATGGCTGAACGTGACTTGCTCTCCCAGCTTTCGGCTAGTTTCTTAGTTATTGCGCAGATTGCACAGGTGACTACTACAGACTTCTGCACTCATTCACCTGCATCTTTGGGCTGTTATCAAGGTGCACACGTGAATGCATTTGTGAATGCGTGAAAACATGGCATATATGCCTCTGATTTCTCAAGAAATGCATTTAAACTGCTGTGTTTTGTTTCTACTTAACAGTCTTGCGTAATGACATTCAGTTTTTGTGGGAGCTTTCAGACATTGCAGTTGCGTCGATTGGCAGCTGTTTGTTGAGTGGTTTTGAGAAAATAAAGGAGGCGTTACACAAGTCCCGTTATAAATTGGCAATCGTGCCTTGCAAGTTTATGTGTCTTTTTTATTAGGCAACTGATTTTGCTGTCATCATGTATTTGATGCAGCTAGCATTTTATTCAATTGCAGCGGATTGTGTGCCAGTACACGCAGTCACGTTTCGTTCAGAGAATTTTCCTTTCTTCGGAGAATTTTCGCCTGTCATGTTGAGCCAAAAAGAAAAAGGGAGTTTTCGAGATACATCAGGGAGTTTCAGGAGTGGTTAAATTCTCCTATGACGACCGATAATTAGCAATCACAGTGCACCTTCATCTGCTGTAATTGGTTCTGGCGCATGCACCACACAAGCATAGCCTTTGAGATTTGTTTCTGATATTTACACAGAGCAATATCCAGTTTACTAGTGGTGTTAGAGTTGAAGCCCCCAATGTGTAGTGTACTAACGGCATAGGAATTAATTATGTCATGCTTTTGTTGTGCAGCAGAGGAGGGAGTAGTCATGATTTCAATAGTCGGCAGTACATGAGACATGTGTAATTATAGCTTGTGTGTGCGTGGATGGGGGCAGAAATTAGTACTGTTGTGCAGAGAAATATGCTGGGAATTTCGTCAACGCTTGCAGGGAAAAATCCCTGAAATATGGAATTTTCATGTCTCTGAATGGGAATTCTTTGGCGTAGTATGGAGCATCACTGAGTACACGATACCATTCACAGTGTTTCATCATTTTTTAACGAAAAGAAGCACCTGGTAGCAAAAAATACAACGCAAATAACGCACACCAATGACAAGCATTTTTCGAACATCATAACATAATTATTATTGTTGTCTTAGGAGTAAACAGTGGCAGTCATGTGCAGGAGCAGTCGAAAAAAAATTTAATTATTGCAATGATGCTAAGAAATTTAAGTATCCTGTAGGCTAAACTGCTGAGGTGCCATTTCTTATTTAACTTTTCAGGATGACGACATTCGATACGATGTAAGCAAGTTCGTGCTATCATGATGTGTTTTTATAAAAACAAGGAAAAAGCACTCTACATCGGAGATTGAAATATGGAACCATTATTGTCCTTGTAATTTCGTAAGCCTAGAAAATTTTCTTTGTCAGAGTGACAAAATTAATTAATCTTGTCATGTGCACAAGCTTATCACTTTTAAATTGCACCGGAAGTGCTATTTATTGCACATTTGCTAAGTATGCTTGGCAAAAAAGCTTACTGTTTCTTGTTGGCCTGCATCCACGAGCCCCCTTGTTGTTACCTACATTAGCAGTATAATTGCTGCCATCACTGTCATTCAGAAGCATCTAAGTGTGCCTTCGTGCCCTTCTTTCCAAGCCCATCTACAGTGCTGACCACGGTGTAACTACTGCTACTGAACAAGTGTCATGCTGGTATTGTGACTTTACCATTGACTGGAAAAAGAAGGTTACATAATATCTTGCATGAAAATGCTTCTCGTCAATATGTGTATGCATTTGTGGACAGTTCATCATAGAGAAGTTTGTGAAATTCCAAGGTTAAACACAGTATTGGCAGCACAAGTGATACATGCTAGACAATGATGGTGAAAAGTCTCAAAAGTGGTTCATGTGCATAATGTATTTTAGAGGCTGCAACAGGCAGAGGATGATGATGCCATTGTATGTGTCGTTTTGCAGTTTTTCCTGCCAAAATACAGTATGGTAGTGTGCTATGATTCCTGTTATGCAGGTAAATACAGTAAAAGCTCGTTAATTTGACACCCGTTAATTCAGAAATTCGGATAATTCGGGCGGCTCTATTGGTCCCGGCCAAAGTGCATGTTAATCTAAGGGACCAAACCTTCATTATTTCGTCGGAATTCGGCTCCGCACCGCTTAATTCGGACAAATGCTGACGGCTGCTGCTACACAAAAGTGTGATAAAGCAGCGCTGGCACCACTGGAGCGAAACCGAAACCTCAGTGGCATCGCCATCATCATCAACTAGTGGGGGCGATCGCAGCATCACCGAACGTCGGCGTCTTCTTTCTTCTCCACTCAGCGTCTCCGACGCGATTTTCCCTTGTGTTGTCGTGTCGGAACCATCTCTTCTTGCGGAGTTCTCTTTTTCTTCCATTGTGACCGTATTTGCATGCCACCACCATCGTGCGCTACAGTGATGGCAACGCCGAAAAAGCGGCAGAACTACGACGCGAAGAACTTGGCGACTAAAGTGGAAATTTTGGAAGCACTGAAGAACGGCGAATCGCGACAGCAGGTTATGACCAAGTACAACGTGAAGCGGAGCACGTTGGGAACGTACGTGAAAAATGAACAACAGATTCGACAAGCCTTCGAAAGCGAGAAGTTTCATGCCTCTAGAAAGCAGTTGCGAACCGCAGCTCATCCCCAGCTCGAAGAAGCTTTGCTCCGGTGGATTACTGACTGTCGCAACGCGCATCTGCCTTTGAGCGGACCTCTCATCATGGCGCAAGGTGAGAAGTACGCTGCAATGATGAACATTGAATCGTTCGAAGCGTCAGAAGGGTGGTTTGCGAGGTTTCGAGAGAGACACGAACTTGTCTTCAGGAGTGTGTGCGGCGAAAAGGCCAGTGTTGACGAAAGCGTGACCACCGAGTGGAGAAATGTGAAGCTGCTGGAGCACATTGCCGCATATGAACCACGTGACGTGTTCAATGCAGATGAAACTGCTCTATTTTTCAGAGCTCTGCCCGACAAGATGGTGACTTTCAAAGGGGACGCGTGCATTGGTGGCAAGAAGTGCAAGCAAAGGATAACTGTGCTTCTTGCCGCCAATATGACTGGCATGGAGCGCTTGCCACTACTTGTCGTCGGGAAGGCGCTTAAGCCACGTTGTTTTAAGAACGTCAAAAGCCTTCCTGCCGAGTACGCAGCGAACAGGAAGGCATGGATGACATTGGACATTTTTCGTGGCTGGCTGCAGCAGTTGGACCGGCACTTCACGTCGAAGGACCGCAAGATAATTATGGTTGTTGACAACTGCAGTGCCCATAACTGTACAGTTGAACTGAAGAGCATCAAAGTAGTTTTTTTGCTGCCCAACACTACGTCTGCTCTTCAGCCGATGGACCAGGGTAGCATTCACTACGGGAAGTCGAAGTACCGCAAGCACTTGCTAGAGCGAATGATCCTATGCTCAGAAGCTGGAAAGTTGTATCAAGTGGACTTACTCGGCGCAGTGCATATCATTGCCCACTGTGTGGAAAAACACTCCGCCGCAAGTCATCGCCTACTGTTTTCGGCACAGCGGTTTTGTGAGGCCCGAGCATGCAGAAGTAGCTGACGATGGCATCGAGGAGGTGTCAGCCGAGTCCACCGACAATGACTGCCCGACTTTCGATGCTGTCCTTCCCACAGATGTGACATTTCAGGACTACATCGCGATTGATCATGGTGTCGCCACGATTGGTCTCCTGACCGATCAAGAGATTATTAATGATGTCACGGGCGCCCATGAAGACCATGATTTCGACGAAGAATCATGCGAGGAGATACAGCCGCGACCTCATCGCACCTCACGGGAAGTCCCGGAGGCGCTGTTAATATTAGAGGACGCGTGCCTGAATACTCCCGACAGCTTGCGTGCTGTTGGCCATTTGGAACAGTTAAGAAAAATTGTGATGTCAGCCGGAATCTGTGCGAAAATGCAGACGACAATTAAAAAATACTTCAACAAATAAAGGTATGCTTCTGCAGCTTGATTTTAAATGTTGTTTTCCCTGTTGTTTAAAATGTTGTTTTAAATGTTGTGTTCATTCGTTAATTCAGCATTCGGTTAATTCGG